CAAAACAATGGAGCGACTACAATGGACTATTAAAAGAACCTCGCGTTCGAATTTTAAATTAAATCCCGCCACTCGCGGCGGACATGAGCGCTCATTTCCTTTTGCATTTTTAACGGGGTTGCCAGGTTTTAATTGTTTAATGAAATAAGGTTGCCATCGCTGAAATATACGTGAATGTTACTGAAAAAAAAAAGTCAGTTAAACACAAGATGTCCCTAGAAATGACGCGCATACATTTATTACTTACTAGCTTTCCGCCCGCGGCTTTGCCTGCGTGGAATTTTGTCTGTCACAGAAAAACTTTATCGCGCGCGTCCCTGTTTCAAAAACCGGGATAAAAACTATCCTATGTTCTTTCCCGGGACTCAAACTATCTCTATGCCAAATTTCATCAAAATCGGTTGCGAGGTTTAAGCGGGAAAGCGTAACAGACAGACAGACAGACAGACAGACAGACAGACAGAGTTACTTTCGCATTTATAATATTACTAGCTTTCCGCCCGCGTGGAATTTTGTCTGTCACAGAAAAACTTTATCGCGCGCGTCCCTGTTTCAAAAACCGGGATAAAAACTATCCTATGTTCTTTCCCGGGACTCAAACTATCTCTATGCCAAATTTCATCAAAATCGGTTGCGAGGTTTAAGCGGGAAAGCGTAACAGACAGACAGACAGACAGACAGACAGAGTTACTTTCGCATTTATAATATTAGTTGGGATAGTTGGGATGTATGACATGCAGCTTTCGTTGTACATACTAGTTTTATTTTAGTCAAACTGGTGCAAATGAAGCTAATCTTTTGCATTGCCACAGAATAAGTAATTCTCTATGCTAGAGGATTTCGGGTGAATCTCGTTTCCACTTTCGGCCTGATCATCACTTTCCATCAGGCGAGACGCAGGCAAAGCGCTTCTTCGTTCGTTTCAGCCAAATGACGTCCACTGCTGGACAAAGGCCTTTTTTTTTTTTTTTTTTTTTTTTTNTTTTTTATAGAGGTTTTCTCCTCGCGGCCCTGGTATAACAGGACCCCCGGCCCGCCGTAGCGGGTTACGGTCTGCTCTATGCCGCTGCTCGGTCAGCTCTGCTGATCAGAGAAGTACCGAGAGCGGCCCTCCAAAGAATGGGCCCGGGCAAACGCCCCGCCAGCCCCCACCTGTGGGGGTTTTTAAAGATGTCCCCTGCATCGTGGCCCGGGCAAATGCCTCGACGGCCCCCGGCCCACTCAATTGTGGGTTACGGGTTGCCCGACAGACCCGCCGAGTTGACGAGACCTGCCGCGCAGGTGAGAAGTTAGCCGCCCGCGTGAACAGACCACGCGGACGTTGCCCAGGGTGCACCACGAGGAGGTCGCTCACCATCGCACCCCTGCTGGACAAAGGCCTCCCCCAAGGATTTCCATAACGACCGGTCCTGCGCTCCCCGCATCCAGGCTCTTCCTTCGACCTTCACTAGATCGTCGGTCCACCTTGTGGAAGGCCTGCTCACGTTACGTCTGCCGGCCTGCGGTCGCCACTCGAGAACTTTTCTGTCCCAACGGCCATCGCTTCTTAGTGGTATTAAAAAAGATAATATTTGACATTTATTCAAAGCCATTTTTGTCAACACAATCTCGTAACCTCAGTTCCAACCTGCGTGGGAGTATCATGTGTGGCCTGCGACATTGCTCGGTCCTCGCCTCGCCTTGCACTTTCTATAGTGGGCGAACAGGCGAGGCAAGCTCGTAAATTGGATTAAAAATAGCCGAGATCATCTCGGAAACTATTATGATTTGATAGCGGAGATGGCGCGGATTTTAACGAGGATTCTGTTGAGTGAATGTGATTTGTTTCTTTCCGAGAAGGTTGGATTTGTGATGTGTTTAGGCTCCAAAATCAAAAGTTTTCACGCGTCTGGTCGTGAAAAAGGCAGGAAGTTTCTAGAGAAACGTACTGTTCTGGACTGCCAGCTATCTAAGTGATGGGGATTGAAGTGCTGACAGATCGATGGCGAAAAGTGGCGACAGGGATAAGTCCGGACAATTCTTCGGAGCACTCCCCGTGATACATACGATAGAAGATGCACAGTGAGGAATGAGGATACATCTCTACGCAGCGCCAAGGGGTCAAACCGATCCGAAATGCTCTGGCAGTCAACGATTCGAGCCGCTCTCCGTTCAATGCGATCTATAGGGAGAAGCTGGTACCAGCTTTTCCCTCTGGGTTTTCACGTGTCTAGTCCTGTCAAGTTTTGGATGATGGCAACCCTAGATGCGCCCTTATAGTCGGCCATGTTTGCAGTCCGAGCCACCCTTGACAACTTTCCTAAACGCGCGTACATATTTGATAAGTCGGCAGGTGGTGTGCGCGTCGTCGATTATTAAACCCGGCAGCTTATGAAAAACCCAGGGGTTTTCAGTGTATGGCAGGGATAGGGTTACCATGTGTTGGATATGAACTTTGGATATGTTGGGACATGGCTGGACTTTTTGGTCCTTCGTTCGGATTTTGTCCAGACTTTGTTTGTTGTCCAACAAGTTTGTAACTACAACTACTTTGGTCAGCCATTTATTTATTACAGGAAATACAATTGTTAATTCTTTATTCTATCACCAGCTGAACCGGCGAAATTCGTACCGCCAGGGTTCAATAGAAATAATGTAGAATCCTACATGTGTAAGAATTTTTCATGTCCCTTGCATGCCCCAATTAATATGAACACATCAGAGCATGCCCCGCGTATGCCCCACATACAATGTGAATCCACCTCTAAGATACACGTTTTAACGAGCATTCCATGGATTTATTACGGAATTTAATGCAATTTGTAAACGACAGCGGATATTTGCTTTCACGAGTAATTTTTACTCGGATGTTTATTTTCTGGAGCTGGAAATTGATGAGAACGTTTGTTATGAAACTCGGTTGTTATGAAGTTAGATCGTAATTAATTTTACAGATTTATAGTGTTCTTCGATAGTATTAGGAAATATGTTATTGTAATACATAAATCCATTGAATTTGTTTGAATGATTTATTATACTAAGTAGTATGGAAAGGTGGTTATTAGTTTCTTTTAAACTAGCTTTTGCCCGCGGCTTTACCCGCGTGAATATCGGTCATGTTCTTCCTTGTGAATCATTCTAACCACTATCTTGAAAACTGCATGAAAATCCGTTCAGTAGTCTTTAAGTTTATCCCGAACTGATTGGTTCATCAACACATTACACATCTCTACACCGCCTTGGTGAAAACCGGGCCTAAATGTCTATGAGAAAAGGGGTTTATAAAATGCAATCGCTAAGTGCAATTCAAGGCTTTCCAAACCCATTTTATTTAATTCTAATCGTTCCCGAACGAGTAGGGTATCATTTTAAAAGCCAAATAGCTTACAGCCCTTCAAATTCACCTGAAATTCACCCTCTAATCGCCGTACATTTCTTTACACTTAATCATGCATGAACGTTACCCAAAAATGAACTCTACAGACTAAACAATACAGTCGGAATTTCAACTCTAACTTTGATATAAAATTGATACTTGGTAGTCTTCCGGCCATTAGAAATTTAAGAAGGATATTCTCTATATTAAGGCTTCAATTCTAAACACAAATCCAACTCTATGGCTTAAAGTTAAGGTCGAATTTGCAGTGGCAAGTTGAAGTAGATCATATGGGCCCTTATGATGTCAATCCATTGTTACATTAGGAGCCATTTGCTAATACAATGGCTTGTACAGTCGTCGACAGATATTTGTGCAGATACAATACACGCTGTGGTACCTTATGTAGGGGTGATAGATGCGGTATTGCAACAAAAAATTAGTGTGATGAGCTGACATAATGACTGTTGTAGCAGCTTACATAAGTGCCAGATGCCACAGTATTGTCTGTATAATATAAACTTAATTACAATAAATACCTTTAAACATTGTTTAATAATAAATAAATTAGGTAGGTCAGTAACATGAACGTTTATGTTAGTAACGTTTGAAATGTTTTCATTGCACCTAAAAATAGGATTAAAATGATTCTTGATTTGTAGTGGTAAAAGGGTTGTATTGTCATTGAGTTAATATAAAACTTGTATTTAATAATAAATATTTTTGATGTCGACTGTACAATTACCATGACATGATGGTTTCATTACTACATGCTAGTAGATAGCATGGTGCTACTTGTTATGTGTTCAGAGAATCAGTTGAATAGGCTTACCCATTCTATGGGAAATGTTTTTGTTGTTAATACGAAATACCAAATGACGAAGGCTGAGTTGCACCACCGAACTTTAACCGTAACTATAACGATAACCAGGCAGAAGCTAGTAGCGGTATATAAAAGTTATACAATACACGGCTAGTGCACTCCAAGCAGTTCAAAAGGCTGTCCAGCGCTCAATAGGGGTTATTCATCACTTTGAGGGGTTCTGAAAGAGGGTTCCGTATGCTAACATACCCTAGTTATAGGTGCAAGGGATGGGGAAGGTTGTGTGAAGCGAAATTTTATGGTGCCTATAGGTATTAGCTGTGCCCGCGACATCGTACGCTAGGTTTGAATATTTTCCCCGTTTTTGTAACATTTTTCATTGCTGCTGCTGCATGGTATAGCCCAGTCTTTTACAGTGGGCGATAACGCCCCCTTGTGGGCGCTGCAGGCTTAAAGGGGGGCGGTAAGAGACCCAAAAAAAATCCGGACGTTGTGTAGAGGCTTGGGATGCGTCATCTACTAGGAGGACTCTTAGACACCGACTGAGCTCGACTCTTGACTACAAAATTGGGGGGCGATAAAAAATAATTTATTCTCAAAGTGGGCAGTAGACTAAATAAGTTTGGGAACCGCTGGTATAGCCTATAGCCTTTCTTTATAAATGGGCTATCCAATCATGAAACTAAAAGGGTTGATTCTAATCATCATCATCAACATTTCAGCCATAAGACGTCCACTGCTGAACATAGGCCTCCCCCAATGAATGATGAGTTTATTTTATCTTTATTTATACTAAGCAGATTTTTCTTATTGTTACAGATCCTTTGCCACCACCATGCAGCCAACCAGCTATGACGTCAGAGCATAACACGTCTGACGTCATCATCACCTTGAAAGATGGCCTGAATTCCATGACCTCACTAATTGTGATATAACCCCAGCAACAATAATTCTATTTTAAATACAAACAAACCCTACGTTCCTTTAGCGTTAGTGTCAATTAGTTAAACCAAAGTTAAGATCTAAAGGTTCTACCTCCAAAAATATAGAACTATTTTTCTTACCAAAGCTAGTTTAGTACTTAAAGATGTCGAATCAAATGCCGATATACAGCCAAGTGGTACCCAAATCTCAATATAGGGGGAAATCTTCGAAGTCGTACAACCGTTCACAAATCACTAGGGCGGACTTCGACCCCTTGAATTTCAACAATGGGGGGAACTTTGTGAGTGAGAAGGGGGAAAAAGATAAGAAGGAGAGAAGGGAACGGTCAAGGGATGAAACGAGTCGGTCGAGGAGGAATCAGACAAAAAATGAGGCGAGCGAGAGTAAGGTTGAGGCGTATTTGAGGCAGAACCAGGTCAGCATGAGGCAACAGCAGCATAGGCACGCTGCGGTCAGGCAGGCTGAGCACAGGGTCAACCTCAGGTGAGTCGCCATGCTGTAAGGTGTGGACTTTTTTGGCATAGGGCGCTCAAAGCTATTTTAATTTAATTGGGATAAGGTTTCTCTTTTGTTCATTTGTGTATGTATTATCTTCTATTTTGTGCCAAATAAACAATATTCTATTCTAAATAGATCCATAGACAATAGTCTATGACCTTCTGACTAGTTTGATTGTCAAGTAACGGAACTATTCCCACCTCTCGTTCCCACCGCTGCAACCAGGATCTACAGCTTGATCGTCGAACTAGTGAAAATAATTATAATAATTAAAAAGCTAACTTTTTATACTAGTCCTTTATTTTAATTACTCAAACATAATAACTTTTTCACAACAAACTCCCTAAGGATTTCCACGAAGACAGGTCCTGCGCTTTTCGTACGTAATTCCCGCGACCATCAACAGATCTTCGGTCCACCTAGTGGGAGTGGGAAGATTATTTTATTACACCATAAATGTATCTATTTCAGGTCTCTCCCACTTAACGACGCGGTGACTGCACGAGGCCACGACAGAACCCCGACTGAGAAGCAGCGCGCCTTTCCAGAAAGGGACAAGGACGGCAATAGGGAGCATCGTCGCGAGAGAGAGCGGGACAGAGATAGAGACAGGGACCGGGAGAACTTTGAGTTTGATGGTGAGTTATGGTTTTACGCCTCAGGTACACTAAAGCCCGGTCTCCGAGCACGTAAAATTTTGTCCAATGACCCCAAGCTAGCCATCCTTTTCGCTCGCGCGTAATTATGTTGCTGTTGCGCTCGCACACTCACTGCGGGCGCCCGTCGCACAGTCGCGACAGCAATATAATTACGCGCGAGCGATAGGGATGGGTAGCTTGGGGTCAATGGACGAAATTCTACGTGCTCAGCGACTAGACTATAGTGGACTATCTTCAGGCAGAATTGAGATTCTCATGAGAAACCGGCGGTATAATTCCATCTGTAACTCTTAACCGCTTGCTTTAGTTCCAGAAATTTCGGGTTCGATTCCCAGTTGGCGCAGAGTTTTCTGTTCTGCTTAGTTAGGTGTCAGAGCTTGCTCTAAGTCCGCCTGGCTAGCCACCACCATTTGATCTAAGTATGTCGCCATAACAACAATGTTAAAAGCATTGTTGTGTTCCGGCAGTTGGAGGTAAGATAGCCAGTTCTTCTGAGGTCGATGATTCCGGGTGGTCACATCTAGCTTCGGCCTGATCGTCATTTTCCATCAGACGAGATGCAGGATACTAAGCAACTAAATCATTTAAAAATGCATTAAAAAGCACCTAAAACTAGCAATATAAAGTTCAGTTTTAAATACTAAACTTTTTATTTTCAGGTACACCGCTCAGTCCCATAGCACCTCGCCACGACAGCTCGCGTCCTGTCCGCAAGTCGTCCTCCGCTCACCGCGTAGCGGAGACCTCAATATCTACAGACAAGCGGAGATTCTTCTGCAGAGAGTGGGCTTTTCAGAAGATAGCTCATTGCTTGGAGCAGCGGCCTGTAAGCAAGACTTGCGGAGCGCTGATATTGGGTGAGTTTGTGCGTCCTCTCCGCTAGTCGTCCTCCGCTTAATGCGTAACGGAGATCCATCTACGGGCAAGTGGAGGTCTTATTCTGATGAGCAAGACCACAGTTAGAAGAGCGTCTCATCACTAAGAAGACAGTATTTTCACATTAGATTAAACTAAGTCCCTATAATGTATAGTTATGTGTTTAAAAAGTTTTTAATTTACGTTGTTAAACAAATAAAATAAATTCATTTTTGAGATAAATGCTAAATAATGTGCATTATACATGTACACATCATTCCTATTGCAAGTTTTGGTTTACTTAAACAACAATAATGAACAGGATTAAACAGGTAGTTTAAATGGCAATGCCAGATTTTGTATGGAAAGTGGCGTCTTTTTTTATTCGCGCGGCCATCGACCAGACTTTGTTTTTTGATTACAAAATAGTGTAATAAACCAAACTTACTATGGCATGTATACCTCTAAACTCAGTCTGAACTGAGTTACGAGCATTAGAAGTTTGATGATTTTCATACTAGATTTGCCTTTTGTGCGCAAGTTTTGTAAGAAATTGCAACAAAATATTGCGCTATTTTTTTATTGCGCTGATTCTGCTCCATACTGATATCTGGAGCCTTTAATGGATGGTGTTGTTTGTTTACACATACAATGTCACTATTTTGTTACAATTTCTTACAAAACTTTGCGCGCAAAAAGCAAATCTAGTATGAAAATCATCAAATTTCTAATGCTCGTAACTCAGTTCAGACTGAGTTTAGAGGTATACATGTCATAGTAAGTTTGGTTTATTACACTATTTTATAATAAAAAAAGAAAGTTTGGTCGATGGCCGCGCGAAAAAAAAAGACGCCAATTTCCGGCATTGTCTTTTAATTAATACTTTTTTATTATTTTTTCCCAACCCGTTTTCAAATGCTCCATTCCATTTGCCCCTGGTTATGCAGAGGGTTGTGCCACAAAATATAACAGAAGACAAACTCCATACTAAACGCGCTCGAGCCACGATGTGTGCGTGGCTCGAGCGCGTTGATTCGGGGAGGTAAGTAAGTTATTTATTTGAATTTCAATTGAAATTGAAAGCCAACTCAATTATTAGGAATATCGAATTGTTTTAGAGAGGTTTTAGGAATTATTGGATAACTAGCGCGCCCTTTAATTAGTTTTTAGCTTTTGCCCGCGGCTTCACCCGCGTGAAATTTAGTTTGTCACAGATCGTCATAAATTATAGCCTATATGTTATTCAGGGTTATAAACAATAATACTGTAAAGTTACATCAAAATCCGTTCAGTAGTTTTTGCGTGAAAGAGCAACAAACATCCAGACATCCAAACTTTCGCATTTATAATATTAGTTGGATAATAGTGTCAACCACTCAACTAAATACTACTTCCTTCTCGTGTATTTGTTTGCAAACTATTACTATAATAACGTACTATATATAAATAAGTATACGTGGATATCTGTTATTGTCTTTCTTGCATAGTATTAAGAGTAACATTTTTCTATCACAACGAAATAAACGCAACACATGACAAGACAACCCTAGCGCGACGGCTGAGCGTGCGAGCGAGAGAGGTATACAAAGCAAGGTACATACATGAGTTTACCTTCTGTTATATTTTGTGGTTGTGCTCCTGCAGTGGAGATTAAAGGATGTAGCACACTTATCAACCCGGAAAGGGATCGGGATCCGTATCAAATTGTTCGTTCGTTCGTTCGTTTCAGCCAAATGACGTCCACTGCTGGACAAAGGCCTCCCGCAAGGATTTCCACGAAGACCGAGCCTGCGCCGCTCGCACCCAGGCATCTCCCGCGACCTTCACCAGATCGTCGGTCCACCTAGTGGGAGGCCTGCTTAAGCTACGTCTTCCGGCTCGTGGTCGCCATTATACCTAGACTTTAACTTTACCTTTGTTTAATTTACAACAATTACTGTATGGTGTTACAGGCGACGCAGGCAGCGGCAAGACAGCGCTATGCCAAGAACTAAGCGAGCCGAGCCAAGGTCCTCAGGCGAGGCAGCAGCGAGCGTTGAACAGACGACTGCTGGCCAGGCATATGGTGCAGGTAACCTTGAAATGAGCTCTGCCTATAGTCTGGTCTGTGAGCACGTAGAATTTTGTCCAATGACCCCAAGCTACCCATCCTTATCGCTCGCGTGTAATTATGTTGCTGTCGCGCTCGCACACTCACTGCGGGCGCCCGTCGCACAGTCGCGACAGCAATATAATTACGCGCGAGCGATAAGGATGGGTAGCTTGGGGTCATTGGACAAAATTCTACGTGCTCACAGACCGGGCTTTAGACAAAATTAGCGCTCATTTTTTATTGCCAGATATTTTTATTTGATTGCTTGCTCTATAGCTGTCCTAAACAATGTCCTGCGATGCCAAATGCCATGACAATTTTCACTCTGCACCCTTGTGGCCCTTAACTCATCGTGCAATGCTGGACAAAGGCCTCTCCCAAGGATTTCCACAATGATCGGTCCTGCGCTTATGCATCCGGCAACCTTCATTAGATCTTAGACTTCCACTAGTGGAAAGCTAGCCTTTTAATTCCAGTCAGGCAGTCCAGCAAGGCATAATTTTGTTTCAAAGTGTACAGTGACGTCACGGCACTACTAACAGAGTAAATACAAATGAGTCATCTTCATAGAAACGCACCGAGCGCGGTTTATACAGTGTGAGTCACGTTAAAGTGTACATATGAAAAAAGATGAAACTAGACCTATTTTTATCGACAAAAAAGAGGTCAAAAATTTTTTTTTATTTTTTTTTTATTTTTTATAGAATTTTTTTTCTTCCAATTATTTATTGTAAAGAAAACGTAATAACTTTTAAACTAAGCGGTATATCCTGATAAAATAATAACAGTAATAATGCTAAATAACAGGCAATACTAAAAAAATTCATAAAATACACAAAACATGCCAACAAATAATAAAAAATGATACTTTTTGAAAAAAATCTTCTTTTACATTCGTGTTTTTTTGGTTATTTGATAAATTTCTCCAAAAAATGCCCCTATAACCGGTGGTTTTTATTACTTTGTATTATTCTCTGTCGTATTACCTTCGTAAAACCAAAACTCGCATGTCTCTATCCCTATCACAACGTATGCAATAAAAATTTTGACCTCTTTTTTGTCGATAAAAATAAGTCTAGTTTCATCTATTTTCATATGTACACTTTAACGTGACTCACACTGTATGTGAGCGCGCCAATACGTATGCGGTGCGCACGAACACACTGACAAAATTTAGCGTGGATTAGCGGGATGTTGCGCCGAAATAAAATACATACGCCGAATACAAACCGCGCTCAGTGCGTTTCTATGAAGACGACCTACTCATTTGCATTTACTCTGCTACTAATATCTGTATCTTGACTATTTTTAGAGAGTTTAGAAAAAGAAAAGCACTGGATAATTTGCTAATAAAAAAGCGAAAAATAATGTTTAATGTTCATTGCTATCTTCTTGCACATTCGCAGAGCAACAACGAAAGCAGCGTCCGTCCATCAGAGTTCATTCGCTCCATCGCGATGCAGATCCTGGGACATTCCTCCCGCCGGGTGAGGAACGATCAGTCGCCGCGCGATCCAGATGCTAGCGATGAAAGGTGAGAAGATTTTTCTTTTTCTTTTTCCTTTTTTTTTCTTTTTCTTTTTCTTTTTTTTTTCTTTTTCTTTTTCTTTTTCTTTTTCTTTTTCTTATTCTTTTTCTTTCTTTTTTTTTTCTTTTTTTTTTTTTTTTTTTTTTTTTTTTTTTTTTTTTTTTTTCTTTTTTTTTCTTTTTCTTTTTCTTATTCTTTTTCTTTTTCTTTCTTATCTTTTTCTTTTTCTTTTATCTGTTTCTGTTTCTTCTTCTTCTTCTCAGCCACTTTCGACCACACAAGTGTAGACCTTCTTCAAATTATACCACCTTTTTAAATCACAATAGGGAGAGTCTTACCCTCCTCTAACAAGTAGAAGCTATGATAGAAGGGAGATTCACCCGGAATCCTAATTTTTTTTTCAACCACAGCCCAGGACCAGCGGTCTTACTGCCGAAACCAAAATGCTTTCAATATTGTTGTTATGGCGACAGACTTAATTAATATGGTGATGCTGACCAGGCGAACCAAAAGCAAGATATTTATCGGCTAAATGAATGGAATGGACATGTAATTCAGTTCTTTAATGGCCTAATTGGTTAATATGACTCAGTTCAGTGTATAATTTCCGAAGAATGTTATTATTTATAATGTTTTCAGGCATAACTCTGAAGAAGAGAGGCTTGTAAGTCGCTTCCGAGGGCTCGGCGATGATGCTGAAGAGATCTCCAAACCGCTCTTGGCTGATAGCGAAGGTATTTATTTATTTATTTATTTGGGACAACCAACAAGACAGACACAAGTAAAAGCAGAGGGGTTTATATACAATCATATTTATAATAATGAACAGTTATTATGCAATTAATTCCTATTAATATCTCTTCCATTTCTCGTATTCCTTCCTTCTTCATTCAATCATTTATCTGGTAATCTGGTTATACGTCATCCTACTGTTTCGAGACTCGCTTCTCATAAAGATTCTACATATTATCTTTCTGCTCCTGACTGCACAGTATACATATTTTTCTGCCAAAGATATGTTTTCTTCTTACTATGATGTCTTCGTTCTCATTAGCCTTGTGGTACCGGCAAAGCAGAACTGTATTTCCTTCGTATGCCTTAAAAGAACTAGAAATATTACAGCTTCACACCATAATATTATACTTACTAGTGTATAAAACTATAGTATTCAAACTTTTCAGACCAACGCACAGATGAAGAAGAGTGCGGCAGCGGGCGTAGACAACGGACCATAGACCGCATCCACGAACGGGAGGCGTACCTAGACTCTATGGTCGGCGACGCAGCCTTGAGTCGCGTGGAAGACGTGAGTGTAATATAACAACACTAAGCATAGACAATAGCGGGCGCAGACAACGGACCATAGACCGCATCCACGAACGGGAGGCGTACCTAGACTCTATGGTCGGCGACGCAGCCTTGAGTCGCGTGGAAGACGTGAGTGTAATATAACAACACTAAGCATAGACAATAGCGGGCGCAGACAACGGACCATAGACCGCATCCACGAACGGGAGGCGTACCTAGACTCTATGGTCGGCGACGCAGCCTTGAGTCGCGTGGAAGACGTGAGTGTAATATAACAACACTAAGCATAGACAATAGCGGGCGCAGACAACGGACCATAGACCGCATCCACGAACGGGAGGCGTACCTAGACTCTATGGTCGGCGACGCAGCCTTGAGTCGCGTGGAAGACGTGAGTGTAATATAACAACACTAAGCATAGACAATAGCGGGCGCAGACAACGGACCATAGACCGCATCCACGAACGGGAGGCGTACCTAGACTCTATGGTCGGCGACGCAGCCTTGAGTCGCGTGGAAGACGTGAGTGTAATATAACAACACTAAGCATAGACAATAGCGGGCGCAGACAACGGACCATAGACCGCATCCACGAACGGGAGGCGTACCTAGACTCTATGGTCGGCGACGCAGCCTTGAGTCGCGTGGAAGACGTGAGTGTAATATAACAACACTAAGCATAGACAATAGCGGGCGCAGACAACGGACCATAGACCGCATCCACGAACGGGAGGCGTACCTAGACTCTATGGTCGGCGACGCAGCCTTGAGTCGCGTGGAAGATGTGAGTATAAAATACATATACAGGGTGTAAGGTAAATGGGTATATAAGCCGACACTAGCCCATGTTAACATGGTCATATAAATGGTATGGTGAAGTCAGAAATTTGATATCATCTTTTTTTTTTAATTTTCATACAAAAATAATTTTATAAAATCCCATTTGCCATTTGTATGAAAAATAAAATAATTAAAATGAAGATTTCAATTTTCTGACTTCACCATACCATTTATATGACGATGTTAACATGGGCTAGTGTCGGCTCATATACCCATTTACCTAACACCCTGTATAGCCTGTAAAAATTATAACCCTTGCTTTGCCGTAGTCGGGTAACAAACTTTTAGCTTACTACGTAAAACTGAGTCATTGCCGGAGGTATGTTAGCAGCACAGGAGGGTATTTTTGGACTTCAAACGTCAGCGACCACAAGGTGAACCGACGACCTCATAAAGGTAGCAGGAAGGCGCTGGATGCAGGCCGCCACCAACCGGACAATATGGAAATCATTGGGGGAAGGCCTATATTTAGCAGTGGACATACTGTGGCTGAAATGATGATGATGCAATCCCGTAAATCCCGGGATAGGTCAAGTATGATCCCGAAATTTTCGGGACCAAATATTATCCAGGAACTCGGGATACCAGGATCGAATTCTCTAAGCGTGATGTATATTTATTAGCTAGTCCAAATCGGAATTTAATAATTATTTTTTCCAAGCTTATCACAACTTTTCTGAACGTGTGCCATGGAGCTTATCTTAGTATCAAATGACGTAGGGTTTCTTACGGTCCCCTCTCGGACTAATACGCTTCGGACTTGTATGTTCTATCACAGAATAATAATAAGTACTACTACAGAATAATAATAAGTACTACGTACAGAAGTTTTACTTCGCGAAGGTATTTAAAAAAATGTATGCTCAATGTCATTAACAATATGGTGTAATTTAGCCTGTCTCAAGAGTCAAGCACCATTTTGTTGACAAACGTCAGTGATCGGCACTGCGCCGAAGCTATAGGGCAGACTTCGGTAGAATGATGTGACGTGAGGTGCCAAACTGCGGAAAATGGCGGAGGAAATACATGATTTAGCATGAATTATCATGAATAATATTAACTACTTATTTACCTCTCAGTGACTTGAGGCAACTTAAAAAAGTGTGTTTTTATTATTATTTAGGCAGTTAAATACTGCACAGTATTTAGTACACCATTTTCTTTAACTTCTTCCATCATACACAAGAATACGCGTGCGTGAGTCACTGTTCGCTCGTATGTGAGGCCTTGTCGAATAGTATCCTGTAGGTGGGCCATCGTGCGTGTTTTGTTTTCGATGTAAACTCGCGGAGATGAAAAGGCCTGGTAATATTCTTTTTAAAAAACCTGTTTTTATTTATCTTTCAGCTCCCCGAAATCCTTCCTCGCGCCAACGTCAAGCCCAACAACCCGTTCGTAGCCGACGAAGCCGAGTCCGACCTCCGTCTCTACGAGAACCACGAGAATCTCTTCCTTCGCAACATATCCCAACGGCAAAGCAAGGTATAGATCATTGGTTCCCAAACTTATTTGAGACACGCCCCCTTTCGACCATACAAAAAATTCCGCGCCCAAAATTTATTTATTTATTTTAGGAATTACAAAAAAATGTGTTACAGAAATTAACTTATCTACTAGACTTATGTATTATTTATGTGGTAACACATCCCACTACGTAATCCACATATTGATATATGAAACCATGTAATATAGAGCGAGGCAATTACAATTAAGGTAGGTACCTTATAAACGCGGTGTAGCTCAACACCAAGAAGTAATTAATATTACCTATGTTCAAATTAATTCCAGTCAAGATTATTTATTGGTCGTATCGAGCAGTCTGGAATGCATTCTCTCAGCGGTCGCAGGTTTTTTATACTTAAGTACACAGAAGAAAAGTCTTTGCGCCTCCCCTTGGGGGCGCGCCCCCCACTTTGGGAACCGATGGTATATATTGTGTCATCCACGAAGACGCGCCCCACCACTTTTTGGTCGAGGGAAGCGCGGATTGCGGGGAGATTCGTAATATTGTCAATCTCTCCATGGCAACGAGTCCTGTCTTCGATTTTCTTTTATCAATTTTTCATGTGGGATTTTGAATACACTTTCCTAAAGGTTTCCAGTGGTTTCATTGAAGGATACAAACCCACACGCTAATCCATTATTTTTATTAGTAAACAATGCGTTTCTATGAAAACGTAATGCCATAGATATGACACTATACAATAAGTGCACACACACTACAATAATGCCTTACGGATTGCTCGGACCACACTCCCCGCACCCCGCGCGACCGAGACCAAACATTGCTGGGGCGCGGCCGAGTGGATGAAACGATCTATAATTATAATGTGTCTATTTCTTTTGTTTTACTAAAGTCAGGTCGCTGAGCACATAGAATATCGTCCAATGACCGCTCCCGCGTTATTATATTGCTGTCGCGCTCGCACACTCACTGCGGGCGCCCGTCGCACAGTCGCGACAGCAATATAATTACGCGCGAGCGATAAGGATGGGTAGCTTGGAGTCATTGGACGAAATTATATCTGCTTGGCGACCATGTCATATTGTCCTGTGGGATTTTTTTAAAATCCTACTTTCTGTTTGTAATGTGTGTTCACTGTTCCTGTTATGTAAATTAACGTTTTATCTATCTACACACACCGGCAGATTTAGAGGNCTCGCGCCTGTTACGTCAGAGCTCAGAGCCTACAGCGCCAAGCGCGCCGCGAACGCTGCACAAAAGCGCTTCAGCAGAGAGGGACAGAGACACGTGAGTACCTCTCACTCCCACCGCTGCAGTTCCTTTGTAGCCAGTAGCCTTATTCACGTAACAAAACTTCAACGACAACAAAACACTGAGCTGCGATCCTATCGAGTAATCGTTCTATCAAAATGACCCTTGTGAATACGGATTTAGAACTTTTTTTCAATGGGACGACTTCTGATCGTCACCGAGATCTTGACTGTCAAAATACGTGAATTAGGCCACAGAATCTACAGCTTGGCCTCCAATGAAACCCAACCAATGAAAGTAGCTAAATACCTCCGCAACATACCTTCAGTCGATACAGAGAGAGACGCGTGAGTGCCTCTCGCTCCCACCCGCCATCTCAGCAGAGCAAGTAACAGAGAAGTAGATAGTCTGTTCGAGCGTTTAAAGTTCCTGAAGTTACCGATAGATGGCGTTGTAATAGAAACAGTATGTGTAGGTAAATGAGTGTTCACCTCTCGTTCCCAATGCTGCTACTCCTGTGTAGCCAGGATGTACAGTTTGGCTTCCAGTGATACCTAACCAAAGAAGGTAGCTACTTCAAAAATATCTCTCAACGGCAGAGCAATGAGACACGTTAGTAGATAGATAGTAAGTAATAACGAGTGATTATAAGTAAGTTCCTAAAGCCACCATTAGATGGCGCTGTGCTGAGTTGACTCGCGCAAGTGAAGTATTCACAGTGTCCCCTCACACAGATTGAGTACTGAAAATTTACATTTCACAATAGTTAAATTTCTCACAAGGAGCACTTCTCATAATATGCATTTAGCAGAATGTGACTTCGCGAAATGCGCACTTTCTGGCTAGATATTGGTATAGAAAAGTTAGACATTTGTCCCATACAAAAACTTATTATTTGAACACCTGAATCGCCCCTTTGTAACGTATAGATCTTTTTTATAACCTATTTTATGACACATTTTATTTGTCCACAGCGTAAGCGAAACAGACAGGCCGAAAGTCGAAAACAGCCCGCCCAAATCACGTATCCCAGTCGCTAATTTCCGGTACCCCAACAAAAGCGAGCTACGTTCCGCCGACAACTCTCCCCAGAAGAAACTCGAAAAGGAACCCTCCGCCCCTGAACTTAAGGACGAAACTGAACTACCCGAATACCAGAATGTTTTAAAACCGGATCAAGTGATCGAAACCCCGGAATTAGAGGTTTTATTAGAGAAGAAGAGATCCCAAAATGAGGATGTGCCTCCGCCTATACCAAGTCTACCAGTCAGTCCAAGGACACTAATAGCCAATGCGTACTATGATAAATTGATGTCAGATACAGAGACCCAACAGGCACTTTTGCCCCAGAATTTGGAAAGGAATCCAGATGAGTGCTTCAAAAAGGCACTGCTGTTTCCGTTACTGGAGATTGACCCGCCGAAGCAGTGTCTGTTCTTGTTGGTCGATGCAATTGACGAGTGCGGTGCAGGTTGGTGAATTGTTTCATTTTAAACTTTATTGCGCATAAATTAAGGTGTTGTGTCATCATCACTAAGAAATTAACCCTTTAATGTTGCCAAAAGTTAACAACCATAATTAAAATTGTCGGTCGTTTGGTGTAGTGGTTCGGAACGAACTACTATGCCGATAGGTCCCGGGTTCGATTTGCCGGGCAGAAATTGAAATGATGAATTTTAATTTCTGTGGTGGGTCTGGGTGTTGCTATGTATAATATGCATGTATTTACAAAAAAAGAAGTATTTAGAAGTTATTTAGAAGTAGTTGTCTAGTACCCATATTACAAGCTTTGCTTAGTTTGGGACTAGAAGCGTAGTGTAAAATGTCCAAGGATATTTATTTATATTTATTTATTTGGAATACAAGCAATTCAATTCATGCAAAGGGAATTTGTTGTAATTTATTATTGTATAGAAAAAGTTTCCGCAACGATTGCTCCTGCGTTGTCTGCATCTATGAGATTCGCTTGACTTTCGCCAAATCGTCGGTTCACGACAGATAAAATCAGTAATCGCTCGCAAATATAAAATTTCGCGTGCTCGTTTTCAGACGTGTGATGTTTCAATTGACATGTTTACACCACCAATTAATTGACGTACTTTTTAAAACTGTCAAAACGAAACTCTCCCATAGATTTTTTATGGCACTATAAGCAAGTGACGTCACTATTTTGCCAACCCGCTACTTTTTTCAATAAAAATGTGACCAAAAATCGTAATTTATAGGTAATTTAAAATAATTAAGTTTTTAAGACCAGAATGAAGTGTCTTTTTACAAAAGTTGTGATTTCGAATTATTGGAGAATGGTGTAAAATTGCCCATTGTAGCTGTCAACTTTCAAGCAATACTCAGTTGCTGGAAAATCTGAACACTTACCCCCCTAGGTAAGGTACAAAACGTGGCAGTTGTATTTCTGAAATCGCCACACTTCGGCGTTTGTTTGGATGGAGTTACTTTTAAGAAATGCCCGAAAGGATTTTAAAGTGTTACCACAGAATAATAATAAGTACTACGTACAGAAGTTTTACTTCGCGAAGGTATTTAAAAAAATGTATTCTCAATGTCATTAACAATATGGTGTAATTTAGCCTGTCTCAAGAGTCAAACACCATTTTGTTGACAAACGTCAGTGATCGGCACTGCGCCGAATACTACTGACTTCGGTAAAATGATGTGACGTGAGGTGCCAAACTGCGGAAAATGGCGGAGGAAATGATTTGGTTTAGCATGATTTAGCATGAATTATCATGAGTAATAGTCCAGTCAAATTAGACATGAACCCTGCAATAATTCGCATACAGCTGAAAATTGGTACGAATGTTCGGAGCACCATTATGAATTAACTGTGAAAAGTCCCCATCGATCCGACATGTGCTAAAAAAAAAATTCAAGGTCAAACTTAAAAAATACAGGTTTTTGAGATTTTCAGCCAAACGGTAAGTTTTATCACAAAAATATGTATGACAAGGTTTAAGACCATACAATTATCTATCAAAATTGTCTATACACTTTCTCCTAAGAGTCAGCGTTTCTGAGATTCGATGATCCGAAGAGTCAAAAAAGTGTTTTCTTCATAACGGTCTTACACATAAATCCAATGTGATATCGCCTCGTGCCACGACTCAGCATTGTATCATGATGTGTTTTCGACGTCGAATATAAAATGATCAACCTCAATATCGTCTGTCATCTTTAATTATCGAAAAATGGGTGCAACTTTGACGAAGGACTGCACCGTGAGTTTCTAAGATACGAAGTTTTCGTGTCTATTAGGTTTAAGAGCTCTTATATGCACACGTCACTACTCTACTTGTAACTCTATGGTCACTCTTTTAGCCCGGTCAAGTCAGAAAATCCAGGTTATAATAATTCGCATAGAGCTGAAAATTTGTGTGAATGTTGAGAACACCATCCTTAATGAAATGTCAAAAGTCCCCAACGATCAGTCATTTGAAAAAAAAATTTACGAAGTCCAAGTTTTTTGCAATTTTCCGCCAAACAGTAAACTTATCATAAGAAATGATAAGAAATAGTAGTAGATCATAAAATTATCTATTAAAAGTGTCTTTGCCCCTTTTTCCTAAGAGTCACCGTTTATGTGGTAACGATGCAAAAAGTTGAAGAATTCGCATTCTGTTAACTACTCCACAAGTCCACAACTTCAACTCTATTGAAATAGTTTTTTAATTGAACAGGATAACAAATACATCTTAAAAAAGGCCTACTGGGGAAACCTGTTAAAAAAAATGCGCCAAATAACCATCATAGGTGTTGTGGAAACATGTGCATATAACGAGAACATCTTAACTAACTTTTTGATTCGTTCTACCTCATAATCGGTGACTCTTAGGAAAAAGGGGTAAAGATAATTTTAATAGATAATTTTATGATCTACTATTATTTTTTATCTATTTTAATGATAAGTTTACTACTTGGCCAAAAAATGCAAAAAACTTGGGACTTCGAAAACTTTTTTTTTAAATGACGGATCGTCGGGGACTTTTGACATTTCATTTAGGATGGTGTTCTCAACATTTACACAAATTTTCAACTCTATGCGAATTATTATAACCTGGACTGTCTAACTTGGTCGGGCTAAAAGAGTGACCATAGAGTTACAAGTAGAGTAGTGACGTGTGCATATAAGAGCTCTTAAACCTAATAGACACGAAAACTTCGTATCTTAGAAACTCACGGTGCAGTCCTTCGTCAAAGTTGCACCAATTTTTCGATAATTAAAGATGACAGACGACATTGAGGTTGATTATTTTATATTCGACGTCGACAACACATCATGATACAATGCTGAGTCGAGGCACGAGGCGATATCACATTGGATTTATGTGTAAGACCGTTATGAAGAAAACACTTTTTTGACTCTTTGGATCATCGAATCTTAGAAACGCTGACTCTTAGGAGAAAGTGTATAGACAATTTTGATAGATAATTGTATGGTCTTAAACCTTGTCATACATATTTTTGTGATAAAACTTACCGTTTAGCTGAAAATCTCAAAAACCCGTATTTTTTAAATTTGACCTTTAATTTTTTTTTTAGCACATGTCGGATCGATGGGGACTTTTCACAGTTAATTCATAATAGTGCTCCGAACATTCGTACCAATTTTCAGCTGTATGCGAATTAATGCAGGGTTCATGTCTAATTTGACTGGACTATAATATTAACTACTTATTTACCTCTCAGTGTCTTGAGGCAACTCAAAAAAGTACATTCTGTGTTTTTATTATTATTTAGGCAGTTAAATACTGCACAGTATTTAGTAGGTACACCATTTTCTTTATTTTCTTCCATCATACACAAGAATACGCGTGCGTGAGTCAATGTTCGCTCGTATGTGAGGCCTTGTCGAATAGTATCCTGTAGGTGGGCCATCGTGCGTGTTTTGTTTTCGACGTAAACTCGCGGAGATGAACAGGCCTGGTGTTACCATGTTGTTTCAGGTCAACAGTCAGAAGATCGCGACGGATCCAGCTCGGCCACGGTGGCTGCATTACTGGCCCGTCATCAACACTTGCTGCCTCAGTGGCTACTGCTAGTCTGCACAGCTAGGAGACACTCTGGACTCTTCACTGGTAACCAGCTAACTTCTAGGCTATAAATATCCAGCTCTCAAAAAGTCCAAATCGCAAAATGTTAAAGTTTCAGCCAAATGACGTCCACTGCTGGACAAAGGCCTCCTCCAAGGTTTTCCACAATGCACGGTCCTGCGCTGCCCGCATCCAGGCTCTTCCCGCGACCTTTACAAGATCGTCGGTCCACCTAGTAGGAGTCCTGCCCACGCTACATCTTCCAGCCCATCGCAAAATGTCCAATTTACAAAATGCCAAAATCGAAAAATTACCAGTTTTTAGAATGTCAAGTTTGCAAAATGTCCAAATCGCAGTGTCCAGTTCCCAAAATGTCCAATTTACAAAATGCCAAATTCGAAAAATTACCAGTTTTTAGAATGTCAAGTTTGCAGAATGTCCAATTCACAGTGTCCTGTTCGCAAAATGTCCAATTTACAAAATGCCAAATTCGAAAAATTACCAGTTTTTAGAATGTCAAGTTTGCAGAATGTACAATTCGCAGTGTCCTGTTCGCAAAATGTCCAATTTACAAAATGCCCAATTTGAAAAATGACCAGTTTTTACAATGTCAAGTTTGCAGAATGTCCAAATCGCAGTGTCCAGTTCCCAAAATGTCCAATTTACAAAATGCCCAATTTGAAAAATGACCAGTTTGCAGAATGTCCAATTTACAAGATGCCCAATTCGTAAAATGTCCAGTTCGCAGAATGTCCAATGCTCAAAATGTCAAATTTACAAAATGCCCAGTTCGCTAAAAGTTTAACTCGAGAAATGACCAGTATTCAGAATGTCCAGTTCTCAAAATGACCAAATCAAGTGGCTTACATACACAACGTCTTCCGGTTTTTTGTCGTCATTGACCATCAGTTCTACGAGCTTACCTCCTATTCTGCTATGTCGATTACTATGGTAGTGGGCTATGGTTTTCCGATGACCAATAAATTTTAAAGTAGCCATATTATCGAGCTCTGTAAAAGTGTTGTGTGACTATAAGAGTGTTTTTTCCTTGCAGGCTTCAGGAAGATAACCCTGGATGAACTGCAGAGAGCGCATGTATCGGCCGACGTTCAAAGATACGTGCTAGCACGCCTGGACACGGAACCTCGGCTCAGGTAATATAACATTAACTTCATTATATAAAGCTCGCATCATAAGTTAAGGTTAAATATACTGATCTTTAAAGATTTCTACCAAGCTGGAGAAGAGAGGGAGGAGATATTTTTGAAGAATCAATCAGACTTCCGAATTGAAACTGAGCAGAGAGATGCGGATATAACGAAATATGATTTGTTATCCAAACACATCTCATATTCTTTCCGCTTAGGTGGAAACCGTGCCTTAAATTGGTGAAAGATACAACCTGAAAGATACAACCTTTAAAATAACAGTACCTAGTTACGGAATCGTTACGTATTCCAAGATAATCTCCGGAATCACTCGACCTTCACTGGGTTTTAATTTTTACGGGATTTTTTCCCACCTCTCGTTCCCACCGCTGCAACTCCTGTGTAGCCAGGATCTACAGCTTGACTGTCAATAAAATCAAAGTTTGTCGCAAAAAAATTTAATGACTTGTTGATAACTCTCAATTTTGCTAACAAATCTTGATTTGGGACTTTGAAATAGCGCAGAAAAGGCTTGCACCCGTCCGTGCTAATAAAATAACTCTCTTTCTGGTGCAGTTGGGTAAAAAATACATAGTTTAAAAGTATGTTCTATTGTTGTCCAGAGCGCGAGTATCGAGCGATTCCGCGGCGGCTGCGGCGGCGGCCGCGGCGTTGGACCACCTCAGGATCAAAAGCGATGGCTGTCTGCTGTATTTGGAGAAGGTACGTAACACTCAGAGTTGGTATCAACATCAGGTCATTTAGTCTCTACTACAGGAACACGACCCTGTCTAAAGCCCGGTCCGTGAGCACGTAGAATTTTGTCCAATGACCCCTAGCTACCCATCCTTATCGCTCGCGCGGAATTATATTGCTGTCGCGACTGTGCGACGCGCGCCCGCAGTGAGTGTGCGAGCGCGACAGCAACATAATTGCGCGCGAGCGATAAGGATGGGTCGCTTGGGGTCATTGGACAAAATTCTACGTGCTCACGGACCAGACTATAGTTTACGAGGGACAAGGATTGATTTGTTCTACACTTCCCACGCTGGCGTCTAAAGTCCGGTCGCCGAGCACATAGAATTTCGTCCAATGACCCCAAGCTACCCTTCCTTATCGCTCGCGCGATAGACAGAATTATATTGCTGTCGCGACTGTGCGACGGGCGGCCGCAGTGAGTGCGTGAACGCGACAGCAATATAATTACGCGCGAGCGATAAGGATGGGTTGCTTGGGGTCGTTGGACGAAGTTCTACGTGCTCGGCGAACGGACTTTAGCTTACGCTGCTTCTCAGCACTGGCCCATTCATTATCCCGAAGTAGTGTTAGGGATATTACTGGGACGTGTACAAGTGCTTTTTAAAAGCCTACTTGCAAAAATAAAATGAGTTTTATGAATTTTTGGTCTTTTATTCTTCTTGTAGCTGCCGTCTAAGTAAAAAAAATATATTTGTATACTTACAAACTTCAAAGGGCGACTCTACGCGACAAACATGTGAACAATATTGTCTCATTTGGCTCTGGTAAATTAGAGGGTCGTGCTCCTGCAATGTAGACTAAATGACTTGATGATAATTATTTTATTTTATTTTTATTTTTTATTTTACAATTTTTTGGAAAACTTACATCTAAATTACGTTATGTTAAGTGATTTTTATGATTAAAGTACAGCCAATTAAAAGTTTCCACTTATAGTTACACAATTAATAAATATTATTGCGGACAGAAAACGATGTTAATTTATGAAGTTCAAACTATACTATTTAACAAAGAAAAGATTATTAAATTTTGTTTTAAACTGGTTGATAGGGGTATTGAATAAGTCTAGTTCCATGTCATCACAAACAGAATTAAATCGATCAGGAACTGTAATTACAAACGAATTTTTGCGATAGTTGGTTCGAGTCAAGGGTGCTTGCAGTATTTTAAAGTGTCGTGTAACTTTTTTGGGGGTATTAATATGAAAACGACTTAAAAGCTCTGAGGAGTCCACATGATTATGATGATGATGATGCAGATTATAATGAATATTCTGTCGTCAGGTGCTAGACGGAGTAGCTGACGGCTTTATAGCCTTACGCGAGATCCGAGAGATACCCGGCACGCTCAACGGGCTGTATCTGTGGCTGGCCCAGCGGCTGTTTCACGGCAGACGGTTCACTAAGGTAAGGATCCATGGACTGACGACCACCACTAAATGCTTGAGATTCTGTTCGAATTAATTTTTCGTGAATTTATAAATACTATAAACATGATGCTGATGAAATCCTAATCTAAACAAAATCACTGAATATACATTGGGGTTCAATGGACATCTCTTAGAACCGGCTTAACACCTTGCAGGAATCGCTGTATAATGAAATCATTTTTTATTTCTAAAAGACTTCTATTGGTGTGGATTATTGGTATTTTCCCATGGTTTATGATTTAAAGCAGTCTTTCCCAAAGTGGGCGATAACGCCCCCTTGTGGGCGCTGCAGGCTTAAAGGGGGGCGGTAAGAGACCCAGAAAAAAAAATCGGGACGTTGTGTAGAGGTTTGGGAGGCATCATTTACTAGGAGGTCTCTTAGGCACCGAATGAGCACTCGACTCTCGACTACAAATGGGGGCGCTAAAAAGAATTTATTCTCAAAGTGGGCAGTAGACATAACAAGTTTGGGAACCGATGATTTAAAAGCATATGAGGCATTATTACAGAAATGTTAAACGCACGTTGAACACTGGCTTAAAGTTACATTTCCATACTAAATGTCAATTTAAACAAGTGTTCAAGGCGCGCCGCAATAAGCCCATTACTCTAAAAGTCAATTTACTCGTCCGTATAGATGAATGTTATTGTTTTAATGTCCGAGGCTATCTTGTTGTCCCTACGAAGGACCGAATCCCTCAGTGCATATGTCGCAGGCAAATTGTATGATTCCGCATTTTACAAACGGCGTCGTCAGTTTACAAACGCTCGCTGTTCTATGAAATGCCGAAGGCAAATTGGCGACTCGTTCATTTGATAAAATTTCGACTATGATTGTTGCAATAGGGTGACCATCATAAAACACATGTTAGACAAATCAGACTTAATTTCAGAAATCAGGTAGGTATCTATTCAGGTAAGACAAACCTAAGATACTTGCTACTCCTAAAGTAATTAAAATATTTTCGTAATAAAAACAACACTAAACTAATTTAAACTATTGACGTACGTACCTATAGGTAAAACTATGACATAAAATAAGTTTCGATAGTCAGTCCGTTAATTCTTACATTTTAATTATACCTAGAAGAAGTCTAGAAGACAACACAATATTTTTTTAAACCAATAATATTCCGCAGCAGTCCACCACCAGTCCGAGCACCAGATTCCATTGTCACCTTAGCGTTTTATACGTGCCGGATAACCTCAAAAACTATTTCATTTTTCCATAGCTTTTTCACTGCTCCTATTTATGAATCGTAAAATATTTTTAATTCACTAAGTATAATCGAATGTCTTTTTATGTGAAAAGTCCTTTGAATACGTAGAATTTGCACTGTTTTCTGTATCACAACACCACGACTCGACGCCATTTTTCTTGTTTTGATTAGCAGCGCCTCGCGTGGTAAGAAAAAGAACTAAATACTTCAATTTGCCGCGGCATTTTGTAAACAGCAATTGAATTGGCTATCAAATGTTTTGGCATATTATAAAGTGCCCAGGCAATTTACATTTTGCCTTCGGCATTTCATAGAGCAGCGAGCGTTTGTGAACTGACGACGCCGTTTGTAAAATGCGGAATCATACAATTTGCCTGCGACATATACATCAGACTGTCACATTGTTTTCTCAAGGTCCGCCTACTACTAGACGTGCTGCTAGCAGCCCGATGCGGCGTCACCGAGGAAATGCTGTACCGATGCCTGCTGACCAAGGAATACAGCGTGAGCCGCGAGGACTTCACGCGCCGGCTGCATCTGCTGCGGCGGTGAGTGCTCATTTTGTCAAGATATTTGTCAACATCTGTGTCAAGTTGTTTTGTCAAGATATTTGGCAACATCTGTGTCAAGATGTTTGTCAAGAAATGATGCGTTTGCAATTATAACACACACTTTTAAACATTTTAGTCAAGATTCAGTCACAGATATTTGTCGAGATGTTTGTCAAGGTAAGAGCTTGAAGTTATGTGCCTGTTACATAGTAGACACTTGTCAAGAGTTTTGTTTTGATGTTTGACAAGATGTGTGGCAAGATATTTGTCAAGATCCAGTCCTAACAGACTTTAAGATGCTGAAATTACGCGGCAACTATTTTGTGTGCGTGTTATGTATAGTTGTTGCAATTTACGAAGGCAAGGTGAGCTTTTCTTGTGTGTACAAACGGTATTGCAAATGATTTATCTATCTAACTTTTTCTACAGGATCCTCGTGATGGAGAAGTCAACCGGCTACCTATCCCTCTTCCACCACTCGTTCGCGGCGTGGCTGGGCGACGTGAAGCACTGCACGCGCCGCTACCTGTGCTGCCCGGCCGACGGCCACGCCGCGCTGGCCATGCACTACACGCTCACCGCAAGGAGGTGAGGCCTAGGGCTCCGGGGCCGGCTGAGGAGGCCTAGTGGATGTCTCTGTCCCGGAGGACACAGACTGAGGCCTTTGGTTGCCGCTCTACTCTACTTACCAGCAGACCAAGGTCCTAGGGCTCCAGGAGACTGCTTCGGAGGCCTAGAGGCACCTGGATTGGAGTCACTTCCTCACTGTGTTACCAATGGACTAAGGCATCAGTAGGCTACCTTGGAATACACACTGACAGGGACACCCTATAAAGTCCGGAAAAAATCAAATGATACCGCGAACTAACGAAGCACAGCGCCATCTATTAGTCAAGTTAGGAAACAAATTGTACCGCTACCACTGTGCTGCGGCACGGACACGCGTCGCTGGCGCTTGCCATGTAGTGTGATGCGGTCCATATAGTGATGCTGAAACCAGGCTAAGAGGTAAGATGCGGTCCAACTAGGAACGCTGAAACTAGACTATAAGCTGAGGTTGGGGCTCTGGGAGCCGGCTTAGAAGGGCTAGACTAGAAGGCCTAGACTAGGCCTTCTAGCGTCTAGGCCTTATGGCTTAGGACTATAGGTACCAGGTCAGGAGCTGGCTACCTCCCTCTTCCACCACTCGTTCGCGGCGTGGCTGGGCGACGTGAAGCACTGCACGCGCCGCTACCTGTGCTGCCCGGCCGACGGCCACGCCGCGCTGGCCATGCACTACACGCTCACCGCAAGGAGGTGAGGCCCAGGGCTCCAAGGGGCAGGCCTAGAAGGTCTATAGGGCTCCAGACCAGTTCCTGTCTCTGTGCGGTGGGAGGGACACAGAGAGAGACCTTTGGTTCCACCTCTACTTACCAGCAGACCAAGGTCCTAGGGCTCCAGGAGACTGCTACGGAGGCCTAGAGGCACCTGGATTGGAGTCACCTCCTCACTGTGTTACCAATGGACTAAGGCATCAGTAGGCTACGATAGAATCCACTTACAGGGCCACCCTATAAAGTCCGGAAAAAATCAAATGATACCGCGAACTAACGAAGCACAGCGCCATCTATTGGTCAAGTTAGGAAACAGATTGTACTGCTACCACTGTGCTGCGGTGGGACACGCGCCACTGGCGCTCGCCATGTAGTTTGATGCGGTCCAACTAGGGATGCTGATAACAGGCCAAGAGGTAAGATGCGGTCCAACTAGGAACGCTGAAACCTAGACTTTGTGAGCTGAGGTCTGGGAGTCGGCTTAGAAGGGACCTAAGGCCTTATGGTTTAGTTCCGTCTGGCCTAGGACTATAGGTATCAGGCCAGGAGCCGCCTACCTATCCTTCTTCCACCACTCGTTCGCGGCGTGGCTGGGTGACGTGAAGCACTGCACGCGCCGCTACCTGTGCTGCCCGGCCGACGGCCACGCCGCGCTGGCCATGCACTACACGCTCACCGCAAGGAGGTGAGGCCCTAGGGCTCCGGGGCCGGCTGAGGAGGCCTAGTGGATGTCTCTGTCCGGTGGGACACAGAGTGAGGCCTTTGGTTACCGCTCTACTCTACTTACCAGCAGACCGAGGTCCTAGGGCTCCAGGAGTCTTGCTCCAGAGGCACCTGGATTGGAGTCACCCCAGTGTGTTACCAATAGAGCAGTTACCAATGGACCAAGGCATCAGTAGGCTACCTTGGATTCCACACTGACAGGGACACCCTATAAAGTCCGGAAAAAATCAAATGATACCGCGAACTAACGAAGCACAGCGCCATCTATTGGTCAAATTGGGAAACAAATTGTACCGCTACCACTGTGCTGCGGCGCGTCGCTGGCGCTCGCCATGTAGTTTGATGCGGTCCAACTAGGGATGCTGAGAGCAGGCTAAGGTAAGATGCGGTCCAACTAGGAACGCTGAAACTAGACTATGAGCTGAGGTTGGGGCTCTGGGAGCCGGCATATAAGGGACTAGATGCTAGAAGGCCTAGACTAGGTCTTCTAGCGTCTAGGCCTTATGGCCTAGGACTATAGGTACCAGGCCAGGAGCCGGCTACCTCCCTCTTCCACCAGTCGTTCGCGGCGTGGCTGGGCGACGTGAAGCACTGCACGCGCCGCTACCTGTGCTGCCCGGCCGACGGCCACGCCGCGCTGGCCATGCACTACACGCTCACCGCAAGGAGGTGAGGCCTAGGGCTCCAGGGCTGGCTGAGGAGGCCTAGTGCATGTCTCTGTCCGGTGGGACATAGACTGAGGCCTTTGGTTGCCGCTCTACTCTACTTACCAGCAGACCAAGGTCATAGGGCTCCAGGAGACTGCTATGGAGGCCTACCTATAGACTCTTGGTCAGTCGCTACGTCACCAGTAGAGAAGTATCCATAGGACCAAGGCATTGGGCTACCTTGGATTTCACACTGACAGGGACACCCTATAAAGCCCGGAAAAAATCAAATGATACCGCGAACTAACGAAGCACAGCGCCATCTATTGTTCAAATTAGGAAACGGATTGTACCGCTACCACTGTGCTGCGGCACGGACACGCGCCGCTGGCGCTCACCATGTAGTTTGATGCGGTCCAACTAGGGATGCTGATACTATGCTAAGAGGTAAGATGCGGTCCAACTAGGAACGCTGAAACTAGACTATGGGCTGAGGTTGGGGCTCTGGATGCCGGCTTATAAGGGACTAGATGCTAGAAGGCCTAGAATAGGTCTTCTAGCGTCTAGGCCATATGGCTTAGAACTATAGGTACCAGGTCAGGAGCTGGCTACCTCCCTCTTCCACCAGTCGTTCGCGGCGTGGCTGGGCGACGTGAAGCACTGCACGCGCCGCTACCTGTGCTGCCCGGCCGACGGCCACGCCGCGCTGGCCATGCACTACACGCTCACCGCAAGGAGGTGAGGCCTAGGGCTCCAAGGGGGAGGCCTAGAAGGTCTATAGGGCTCCAGACCAGTTCCTGTCGCTGTGCGGTGGGAGGGACACAGAGAGAGACCTTTGGTTCCACCTCTACTTACCAGCAGACCAAGGTCTTAGGGCTCCAGGAGACTGCTACGGAGGCCTACAGGCACCAGGCCAGTCGCTGCCTGCGTCTGTCCCACTAGTAGAGCAGTTACCAAAGGACCAAGGCAGTAGCCTACCTTGTATTCCACACTGACAGGGACACCCTATAAAGTCCGGAAAAAAACAAATGATACCGCGAACTAACGAAGCACAGCGCCATCTATTGGTCAAATTAGGAAACAGATTGTACTGCTACCACTGTGCTGCGGCACAGACTCGCCATGTAGTTTGATGCGGTCCAACTAGGGATGTTGAAACCAGGTTAAGAGGTAAGATGCGGTCCAACTAGGAACGCTGAAATTAGACTATGAGCTGAGGTTGGGGTTCTGGGAGCCGGCTTAGAAGGGACTAGATTCTAGAAGGCCTAGACTAGACCTTCTAGCGTCTAGGCCTTATGGCTTAGGACTATAGGTACCAGGTCAGGAGCCGGCTACCACCCTCTTCCACCAGTCGTTCGCGGCGTGGCTGGGCGACGTGAAGCACTGCACGCGCCGCTACCTGTGCTGCCCGGCCGACGGCCACGCCGCGCTGGCCATGCACTACACGCTCACCGCAAGGAGGTGAGGCCTAGGGCTCCAAGGGGCAGGCCTAGAAGGCCTATAGGTGGGATACACCCAGAGACCTTTGATTCTGATTCCCGCTCTACTTACCAGCAGACCAAGGTCCTAGGGCTCCAGGAGACAGCTACGGAGGCCTATAGGCTCATGGTCAGTCGCTACGTCACCAGTAGAGCAGTATCCATAGGTCCAAGGCATTGGGCTGCCTAGAGGCACCTGGATTGGAGTCGCCTCACTGTGTTACCAATAGAGCAGTTACCAAAGGACCAAGGCCTCGGTGCGACCTTTGATTCCGTACTGACAGGGACACCCTATAAAGTCCGGAAAAAATCTAATGATACCGCGAACTAACGAAGCACAGCGCCATCTATTGGTCAAATTAGGAAACACATTGTACTGCTACCACTGCTGCGGCACGGACACGCGCCGCTGGATGCGGTCCAACTAGGGATACTGATACCAGGCTAAGAGGTAAGATGCGGTCCAACTAGGAACTAAACTATGAGCTGAGGTTGAGGCACTGGGAGCCGGCTTAGAAGGGACCTAGGCTTTATGGCTTAGTCCCGTCTGGCCTAAGACTATAGGTACCAGGTCAGGAGCCGGCTACCACCCTCTTCCACCACTCGTTCGCGGCGTGGCTGGGCGACGTGAAGCACTGCACGCGCCGCTACCTGTGCTGCCCGGCCGACGGCCACGCCGCGCTCGCCATGCACTACACGCTCACCGCAAGGAGGTGAGGCCTAGGGCTCCAAGGGGCAGGCCTAGAAGGCCTATAGGTGGGATACACCCAGAGACCTTTGGTTACCGCTCTACTCTACTTACCAGCAGACCGAGGTCCTAGGGCTCCAGGAGTCTTGCTCCAGAGGCACCTGGATTGGAGTCACCCCAGTGTGTTACCAATAGAGCAGTTACCAATGGACCAAGGCATCAGTAGGCTACCTTGGATTCCACACTGAAAGGGACACCCTATAAAGTCCGGAAAAAATCAAATGATACCGCGAACTAACGAAGCACAGCGCCATCTATTGGTCAAATTAGGAAACAGATTGTACTGCTACCACTGTGCTGCGGCACAGACTCGCCATGTAGTTTGATGCGGTCCAACTAGGGATGCTGAAACCATGCTAAGAGGTAAGATGCGGTCCAACTAGGAACGCTGAAACTAGACTATGAGCTGAGGTTGGGGTTCTGGGAGCCGGCATATAAGGGACTAGATGCTAGAAGCCCTAGATTAGGTCTTCTAGCGTCTAGGCCTTATGGCTTAGGACTATAGGTACCAGGTCAGGAGCCGGCTACCTCCCTCTTCCACCACTCGTTCGCGGCGTGGCTGGGCGACGTGAAGCACTGCACGCGCCGCTACCTGTGCTGCCCGGCCGACGGCCACGCCGCGCTGGCCATGCACTACACGCTCACCGCAAGGAGGTGAGGCCAAGGGCTCCAAGGGGCAGGCCTAGAAGGTCTATAGGGCTCCAGACCAGTTCCTGTCTCTGTGCGGTGGGAGGGACACAGAGAGAGACCTTTGGTTCCCACCTCTACTTACCAGCAGACCAAGGTCCTAGGGCTCCAGGAGACTGCTACGGAGGCCTAGAGGCACTTGGTAAGTCGCTGTCCCACTAGTAGAGCAGTCCAAAGGACCAAGGCATCTATAGGCTACCTTGGAATACACACTCACAGGGACACCCTATAAAGCCCGGAAAAAATCAAATGATACCGCGAACTAACGAAGCACAGCGCCATCTATTGGTCAAATTAGGGAACATATTGCACGCGCCGCTGCCTGTGCTGCCCGGCCGACGGCCACGCCGCGCTCGCCATGCACTACACGCACACCGCCCGCAGGTGAGGCCTAGGGCTCCAAGGGGCAGGCCTAGAAGGTCTATAGGCGCCAGGCCTGTCGCTACCTACCAGAGATCCAAGCCACCAGTAGGCTAGGGTAGAACCACTACACCGCCACCACCACACCATGAAGGAGGCTTAGGGCTCCAGGGCCTCCAGGGGGCGACTGAGGAGGCCTAGAGGCAATTGGTAAGTCGCTGTCCCACTAGTGGAGCAGTTACCAATGGACCAAGGCATCAGTAGACTACGATGAAATCCACTTACAGGGACACCCTATAAAGCCCGGAAAAAATCAAATGATACCGCGAACTAACGAAGCACAGCGCCATCTATTGGTCAAATTAGGAAACAAATTGCACGCGCTACCACTGTGCTGCGGCGCGTCTGGCGCTCGCCATATAGTTTGATGCGGTCCAACTAGGGATGCTGAAACCAGGCTAAGAGGTAAGATGTGGTCCAACTAGGAACGCTGAAACTAGACTATGAGCTGAGGTTGGGGCTCTGGGAGCCGGCTTATAAGGGACTAGATGCTAGAAGGCCTAGAATAGGTCTTCTAGCGTCTAGGCCTTATGGCTTAGGACTAAGGTACCAGGCCAGGAGCCGGCTACCTCCCTCTTCCACCACTCGTCCGCGGCGTGGCTGGGCGACGTGAAGCACTGCACGCGCCGCTACCTGTGCTGCCCGGCCGACGGCCACGCCGCGCTGGCCATGCACTACACGCTCACCGCAAGGAGGTGAGGCCCTAGGGCTCCAAGGGGGGAGGCCTAGAGGGTCTATAGGGCTCCAGACCAGTTCCTACCTGTCTCTATGCTGTGGGATACACCAAGAGACCTTTGGTTCCACCTTTAATTACCAGCTGACCAAGGTCCTAGGGCTCCAGGAGACTGCTACGGAGGTCTAGAGGCACCTGGATTGGAGTCACCTCCTCACTGTGTTACCCTTACCAATGCATCAGTAGGCTACCTTGGAATACACACTGACAGGGACACCCTATAAAGTCCGGAAAAAATCAAATGATACCGCGAACTAACGAAGCACAGCGCCATCTATTGGTCAAATTAGGAAACAAATTGCACGCGCCGCTACCTGTGCTGCCCGGCCGACGGCCACGCCGCGCTCGCCATGCACTACACGCTCACCGCAAGGAGGTGAGGCCTAGGGCTCCAGGGGGCAGGCCTAGAAGGTCTATAGGGGCCAGACCAGTTGCTACCTGTCTCTATGCTGTGGGATACACCAAAAGACCTTTGGTTCCACCTTTACTTACCAGCAGACCAAGGTCTTAGGGCTCCAGGAGACTTGCTCTGGAGGCCTAAAGGCACCTGGATTGGAGTCACCTCCTCACTGTGTTACCCTTACCAATGCATCAGTAGGCTACCTTGGAATACACACTGACAGGGACACCCTATAAAGTCCGGAAAAAATCAAATGATACCGCGAACTAACGAAGCACAGCGCCATCTATTGGTCAAATTAGGAAACAAATTGCACGCGCCGCTACCTGTGCTGCCCGGCCGACGGCCACGCCGCGCTCGCCATGCACTACACGCTCACCGCAAGGAGGTGAGGCCTAGGGCTCCAAGGGGGAGGCCTAGAGGGCCTACAGGCTCCAGACCAGTTGCTACCTGTCTCTGCGGTGGGATACACCCAGAGACCAGCTTTGATCCGTATCAGTAGACTAGGGTAGATCCACTAAACCGCCACCACCATGAAGGAGGCTTAGGGCTCCAGGGCCGGCTGAGGAGGCCTAGTGCAATGTCTCTGTCCGGTGGGACATAGACTGAGGGCCTTTGGTTGCCACTCTACTTACCAGCAGACCAAGGTCATAGGGCTCCAGGAGACTGCTATGGAGGCCTACAGGCACCAGGCCAGTCGCTGCTTGTGTCTGTCCCACCAGTAGAGCAGTTACCAAAGGACCCAGGCATTGGGCGACCTTGAATTCTACAGTGACAGGGACACCCTATAAAGTCCGGAAAAAATCAAATGATACCGCGAACTAACGAAGCACAGCGCCATCTATTGGTCAAATTAGTAAACATATTGCACGCGCCGCTACCTGTGCTGCCCGGCCGACGGCCACGCCGCGCTGGCCATGCACTACACGCTCACCGCAAGGAGGTGAGGCCTAGGGCTCCAGGGCCGGCTGAGGAGGCCTAGAAGGTCTATAGGGCTCCAGACCAGTTCCTGTCTCTGTGCGGTGGGAGGGACACAGAGAGAGACCTTTGGTTCCACCTTTACTTACCAGCAGACCAAGGTCCTAGGGCTCCAGGAGACTTGCTCTGGAGGCCTAGAGGCACCTGGATTGCACTAACCTCCTCACTGTGTTACCAATAGAGCAGTTACCAATGGACCAAGGCATTGGGCTTATTGGGCTACCTTGGATTCCACACTGACAGGGACACCCTATAAAGCCCGGAAAAAATCAAATGATACCGCGAGCTAACGAAGCACAGGAAGGAATGAATGAACACCAAGGAATCACTAGACCACCAGGTTAAGCTAGGGGTCTTCTAGACCTGGGTGCGCCAGGCCAGGGATTAAAAATATAGCCCAGGAATCCTCTACCTTCAAATTGAGGACCGCCATACGAGGGGACGGTCTAGGGTACCACGAGGCCAAGTATTTTTTATCGGTTTGGCAACCGCTAAGTCGGGGAACACTCAAGCTAAGAAACCAGACCTAGGGAAGCTAGGGAATCTCAAGACTTGAGAACTAGCTTATAAGAATCATAAAAGTATAGAAAGTGCTCTTTAAAACAGAAAATAATTTAATTTAATGAACTTTATACTTTGGAACATCCATTTATACACCCATTCTATCCACTCACCACAACTTTGTCCTTTCAGACTGACGGCTCTGGAGATCCATAACTACGTGTACCACATGACGAATCTTGAACAACACATGGCTGCACAGAAGAAGAGTAAAACTACGTAAGTAGACTATAGACTAGGACGTCCCACCCCTTTAAGGTGGACAGAAGACCTCATAAAGGTTGCAGGAAGGCGTTGGATGTTGGCCACTATGTGGAAAACATTAGGGGAGGCCTATGTTCAGAGGATGTCCTGTGGCTGATGATAAAGATGATGAGACTGTAGTTCTAGATCCTTTAAAGAAACAACGCTTAAAATTCTATTCAATCAGTCATCATGTCTTTTTGTATTGAATTATCACGACTTTGTAGTGTTTTTTACAGAATAGTGACGTTACACTACATTTCAACTCGATATAACACTGTAATCATTTGATTATAAAAAAAGAAATGATACGTGTTCAATATTTTTTTATAGTCCTACTTCCTACTAATATTATAAATGCGAAAGTATGACGCAAAAACTACTGAACGGTTTTGATGAAACTTTGCAGTATTATAGCTTATAACCCAGAATAACATATAGGCTATAATTTATGACGATCTGTGACAAACTAAATTTCACGCGGGTGAAGCCGCGGGCAAAAGCTAGTCTGTTATAATTTTTATTTCATTACCTAAGAATCATCGCTACTCTATTGCGTTTTTTCCATTCCATTGTATTATTATATTTCGTTCTGTTCCATTCCATTCTATTATAATGTACTCCATTCCTCTCCATTCACCAGTCTCCCTTCTTCCAGCGACACAGAAGAAGTCCTGGACCTTCATACCCTGATGCTGCTATGGGTGCTTGATTCAGGCTGCGACGTGGAGTCAGCTCTGAAGAGGGAAAACGACGCGCTGCGATATATGGACTCTCTTGCCAACAAGGTGAGTTGCTGATACCTTGAATAAGTAGGCAATTCTCCAGTAATATTTTTATTTTCACCTGCAAATAAAAATATTACTGGAGATAAAAATATTACTGCACCACGCAGCAACACCCGCGGCAGGGGAAGACCGCCTAAACGGTGGACAGACGATATCCGGCAACAGGCTGGAGTGAACTGGATGCGTGTGGCCAGGGACAGAAGTCGGTGGAGGGTGAAGAGGAAGCCTGTGTTCGAAGGCGAACCCAAAGGCTGCTATAGATAGATTTTTATTTTGGCGTTTCAAAGGTGGGGCTACCTTCTGCCCATTTATAATAGAAACAGGTGTGAGAATTACTATTTTCTTCTTGTTGTGACTTCATCGACTGGTTGCATTCACATTTGCTCTCTAATTTTGAACCATCTGAGAACCCCACCTGAACAGATTGCCCTTACTACGGCCGACCTGCGTCCGAATTATATTTAAAGACTTCCAGGGGAGCTCATGTCCATACTATCATCTTCGAATCGGTAATCGCCGGATTTCACACTGGTGTAAAATGGCAATGCCAGATTTTGTATGGAAGGTGGCGTCTTTTTTTTTCGCGCGGCCATCGACCAAACTTTGTTTTTTGATTACAAAATTGTGTAATCAACCAAACTTACTATGACATGTAGTATACCTCTAAACTCAGTCTGAACTGAGTTACGAGCATTAGAAGTTTGATGATTTTATATACTAGATTTGCGCGATGTAAGAAATTGCAACAAAATATTGCGCTATTTTTTTATTGCGCTGATTCTGCTCCATACTGATGTCTGGAGCCATTAATGGATGGTATTGTTTGTTTACACATACAATGTCACTATTTTGTTTGTCACTAGTTTGTCAATTTCCGGCATTGTCTTTTAAACGCGAAATAAACTGAACGCGAAAGTTTAAAATCTTATAAAAACAGTATAGAAGTATCGATATAAATATTCCATAGTTCAATCAATCCTTTATTTCGCGGAGATGCTACTTTGGCTTCAGTTGTTATAGCTAATATTTTATTTACAGACGATCAACGAAGACAATCTCGATGAGAAAACTGGAGAGCCTGATTCGGAAGGCAGGGAGTCTATATCAGGTAAGAATCCTATGTATGGCTGATTTTTCAATCGTCAGATATCTTTTAACTGAAGAATAAACTTGTCATTTTGACATATTTCCCATACTGAAACTGTCAATGTGCCAAATTCATTCTTCAGTTATAAGTTATCCGACGATTGAAAAATCGGTCCTAAGCCAAATAAATGTTACACATGGATATTTGGTATTCGTACATGGTAACTATAGATCTAGAGGTTAACTGAGTCAGTGCCTGAGGCATTGAAGAGCCACGTTTAATTATTTCAGTTATTAGACCTGGTATATTACTTACTAGCTTTTGGAGCGGCTTCGCCCGCGTGGAATTTTGTATGTCACAGAAAAACTTTATCGCTCGCGTCCCTGTTTAAAAAACCGGGATAAAAACTACTTTTTTTCCCGGGACTCAAACTATCTCTATGCTAAATTTCATCAAAATCGGTTCAGTGGTTTTGGTGTGAAAACAAGACAGAGTTACTTTCGCATTTGTAATATTAGTATTTGAATAATTGAATTGAACAATGGTTATTGGTTAATCTATACCTACTAATATTATAAAGCTGAAGAGTTTGTTTGTTTACTTGAACGCGCTAATCTCCGGAACTACTGGTCTGATTTGAAAAATCCTTTCAGTGTTAGATAGCCCATTTATCGAGAAAGGCTATAGGCTATACATAAATATATAAATAAATGTTTTTCTTTCTTCTTTCTTTCTTTCTATACAACATCACGCTACGATCAATAGGAGCAGAGCAACAATGAAAAATGTTGCGAAAACGGGTTTTCACGCGTACGAAGTCGCGGGCACAGCTAGTCTTTTCATAAATTGCGTAAATTAACTTAATTGTACAATACTTTTTAATTCTTCAATGCACTTATTTCATTTTAGGAAATTACAGCAAATGTAACATAGCTATCCAAAAAAACTAATAATTTAATCGTCACTAGCACACATTCAATTAATCATTGTTTTACGCACAACATTCACATTGTTAAGCGTTTCCCTGAAATGAACAGAATAACAGATAGACAGACCACATTGTCATACTGTAGCTTTATTCTTTTTTACCGGTTTCCTTGTAGTTATATGCGTACAATATTATCTATGGACATGACATTAGGATTTCCCTAATTCCTAATGAATAATTGTTTAAATATGTATTTAACATGTTAATATTTCCTTCCTATTACATAACGAATGAAATATGTATTCAATAGGTTTAAATTAGTAACAAACAATATTGATTCCTTATGTTTAATTTTCCATTGATTCTGCGTCAGTAGAGCACATATTTATGTCACAACTAGCGGTCGCTCAAGACTTTGTACGCGTGGATCCCGTTTTACCCTCTTAGGAGTGGAATTTCGTAAATTCCGTTCTTAGTTGAGCATCTACCTTCTAAAAGGAACCTCTATGCAAAATTTGAGTCTCCTAGCACTTGTAGTTTCTGAGATTTCTTGATGAGTGGGCTTATAGAATATAGATATCGTTTAGTTTGACGTACCATTGACGGTAAAAAGTACCAGTTTTTTTAGTTTTTTTTGTCAATATTATAACTATTGGTAACATTTACGTTCTATTAGCTTTTGCCCGCGAAAAGAAAATTTGTCGGTCACAAAAAAAACTTTTCTACTCTGTTTCAAAAACCGATATAGATTATGATTAACCGGGATATTATTATCCTGTCTTTTCCCGGGACTCAATATACCAAATTTTATCAAAATCGGTTCAGTGCTTCAGGTAAAGCGTGAAAGCGTAACAGACAGAGTTATTTTCGCTTTTTTTTTATAAAACTAGTTTTTCCCCACGGTTTCACCCGCGTGAAATTTCGTTTGTCACATATCGTTATAAATTATAGCCTATATGTTATTCAGGGTTAAAAACAATAATACTGTAAAGTTTCATCAAAATCCGTTCAGTAGTTTTTACGTGAAAGAATAAGAAACATCCAGACACCCAAACTTTCGCATTTATAATATTAGTAGGATAGGATTAGTAGGGATATCTGTATAGATAGTTTGGTAATTTCTATTGCACATGAAAAGTTATTAACCTTTGACACACGTATTTTTTCTGTTTCTGTAACGCATTTATAGATAAAACAGAATGAATAATATGATTTTTTAAGTCGCAGTGAAAACAGGATATTGGTTATGTTATCCTTAACAGAACGGGTCATAGCTGGTCATTTAATTGTTTGTTCATTGTCTGCCATTTTGATATTATAGGTCAAGCTTAATTCAGTCAGTGCCTGAGGTATGGGAGCGGCACAGGAGAGTGTTTTTGTGACGTCAGACGTCAGCGAGACTTCAGATGCGCTTCAGACTTGTATGCTCTGTCATGTCATAATATGTCAATGTCACCCCTTCTTTGCCGCTCCAATGCCTCAGGCACTGACTCAGTTAGCCTATCCTCAGACTGCAGACTTTATGTCGGCCGATAGTTGGGTCGGGCTGTTAATCAGTATGGAGATGTATGAAAGTGCGCACATTACACCGATTTGATGTCGGCCGATTCTTCATACAAATTAAAATCGGGCACAACTATCGGCCAACTAAAAATCGGTGGTCTGCGCCTAAGCTTATGCGCTTGACTTGTAATAATAATATGTATATCAGTTTAGCTGTATTAAGTACCCTTTCCCTACGGGCCCTTGGAAACCAAAGTGCGACTCAATACGGGGTATTTTAACCTGCCAAATTGTTTGCTCCACTTTACATCAAGATATTTCAAAAAGTATGAGACTTACGGTATTGCAATTTGGAATATTATATTCTGCAACTAATGTGGTTTCATAATTACAAGCGCATTTTAAACTTAATTTGCAATTTAATTGTTTTTTGTCGTAAACCGTGATTTAGTATTGGCTTTGCCAAAACAACAATAGATGTCACCCGTATTGAGAAGTGACTTTTGACTTGGCTACAATATAGGTGCCTCCCGTAGGTTAGAGGTTAAGATTTGGGATGCATTTTTAACATCCTGTATGTTCCACTACCACTTTTAACGGGCGCCATACACAAGAATGTATGTTATCAATATTTGTAACACTTTCTTTGTAACTCATTAATAAAATTATCACAGATAACACTTGACATACTCATTTGTTATCTGTGCAGCACTGACCTAACGTTTTCCAGTTATTCAATAAACTAATTACAACTAATTTTACTATCGTATCCTGTGGTGGTATACAACACAAATTACACCCTGTTCTTTAAAGGTTAAGGTCTAGTTTATGACACTACAGGGGCAGGATAATGACATTAAAGTTTTCGAATGCCAGTTATTGTTTTGATTTCGTGCTAAACGGTACAATGTGGTGCGTGCGCTGTTGTGTGAATGGGAAGTGAGTTTATGTGTTAAAATTGTGGGTTTTGCATTTTGGCTGTATTTCGATGTAAGTTTGACAGATTTTACTCTGTAGTTTCTTATTGTTTTCTAAAAATTATAATCAGTTTTGGAAAATGACCTACTATGCTAATTATGTTGATATAAAACCATACTAGTGTTAAAAAGGTGAACGTTTATGAGGAATGAGGATGGTTGGATATTTGTCACGTTAACTGCTGAACGGATTTTGGTGAAACTTTACAACCTGTTACTAGGTATTTGTTGATGATGATAATGTACCCATCAGTAGATACTTTTTTATATTTCTTACCTTTTTTAAATAATATGTTAAAGATAAACTGTTCCTGTGACACGGGTAACTCAGGAATGTCGTAATAATCACGTAGGTAGATGATCGGATATTTACGACAAAACCGCGTAATCTTGACAGAAATGCGTGTTAATTTTGAAAACTGATCGCGTTCATCTGTGTATGAATTGTTAAATAATAAAAGCTCATATGGGTGGCCTCCCTTATGCCCGTGTTCACCATCAATCTCTAATTTTTAAGTGACCCCTATGGTAATCTTTATATATATAAAAGAAAGTCGTGTTAGTTACTCCACTTATAACTCAAGAACGGCTGAACCGATTTAGCTGAAAATTGTCAGGGAGGTAGTTTAGAGCCAGGAGAAGGACATAGGATACTTTTTATCCCGTTCGACAGCATTCCCGTGAAATCCCGTGTGACTTGACATGAAACGTCAGTCACTATAAAACGTGGTATAACAAAAAAGAATCAGACTTGGAATAACAAACCACGCGGGCGAAGCCGCGGGCGGAAAGCTAGTAGGTACATAACAGGAATTATATTTTCATAGGGTTCACTTAAAAATTAGGGATTAATGGTGAAAACGGGCATTAGAAGTTTAGTGCCAAGTTAAATTACTATCCCTTTTTATACACATGCTCCATTTTTCTTTTCTCCAGCAGACACATCGGCCCTTGAAGCGATAATGCCCGAGTTAGTCGGAGGGGACGCGTCCGGACGCTGGCCGCGAGACCGGACAGTGTTCCGGACGCTGCTCGAGCTCAGCCGGACGGACGGCGGACACGACGCGGACACTGAGATACATGACTTGGTGAGTTGCTTCTCTAGCAAATGCTTAGAATATGAACTATGAATTTTTCATGTTTTTGGTTGGTCAAATCTGATAAAAGAAGTGGCGAGAAATACAGACTGATTTTGATAAACTATACAGATGAAAACTGACGATTGGTGAACTACAAATATGGTTATTTCTTGCAAGAAAATCGAATGAAAATACTCTTACGTCCGTATTCACAAACATTACTATTAGGTCTCACAGTGCGCGTGGACGCACATGGTGAGACACGAACCAATCACAGAGCACTATTCAACGCTGTGCGTTCGATTTGCTGCTTCACATAAGCAAGCATCGTTTGTGAATACGGGCGTTAGTGTATGTATGCTGCATTACCAGCTACCCATTTCTGGTCATGTCGTCTCGTTCTATCGCAAAGAATCGCCATTTGATGAGAGCGAGAGAAAAAATCAGAAATGGGTAGCTGGAACTGTGGCCCACTGTACTAAAAAGTCACAAAATGCATTTCCCTGATGCTATCGATATCACATCTAATTTCATTAATTCCAATCAACAAAAGAAAAAAACAAGGGCCGAAAAATACCATGCTTTATCACTGTCTATTCTCTGCCCACAAGCAACATTCCTTTTCAATAAAAATTTAAATACCAATGATATTTCTCTTCACAGCTCACCACAGAACCTGAGAAGGAAGTGAAGACAGAAGCGAGCACAGAGGAGCCGGAAGAACCGGTCATATTGGACCCCAACCTGGTATTCGAGTTGGCTACCAAGGGTGACGATGAAGCGTTGGCTGCTTTGGTGAAAGTAAGTCCATATTAAATTGGGTATAGCTTATTAAAGAGTGCTGATAGGAAAGATGTTTGAGTTATATCAATTTCCACTTTACATTGGCACAAATACATTTCTTCAAGAGGTTTGATTGCCATTAAATAAAGAAGAACACTAGTGTATAATGCTTTATTAAATCCCCGCTAAAAGTAGTCGCAAATTCGCTCTAAAGCCCGGTCTGCGAGCACGTAGAATTTTGTCCAATCACCCCAAGCTACCCATCCTTATCGCTCGCACGTAAATATATTGCTGTCGCGACTGTGCGACGGGCGCCTGCAGTGTGTGTGTGAGCGCGACAGCAACATAATTACGCGCGAGCGACAAGGATGGGCAGCTCGAGGTCATTGGACAAAATTCTACGTGCTCGCAGACCAGACTGTACTAAATACTAAATGTTTGAATGTTATTAAACATTTAGTGCGGATAGCACTTAAAATGCCAGTTGGTAAAATTGTATTTAGTTGTAGTCGTCTTTGTATTTTCTCTGTAAATAAAGTATGATAAAACTTTTCACAGGGAATTCGTAAAATGCATCAATAAATAAAATGGCGTCAAAAAACTATACTTAAAATTCTTAAAAAAGTGTGACTTGGTTTTCGAAATGACGGGTTTAAATGTCTTTAACCTTAAATCTGTATTCCAGCGCTATCCGCAACTGGTAGAAGTGACCGACGCATCCGGTGGCACAGCTTTACATTGCGCTGCCCGCGGCGGGCGCGCTAAAGCCGCTCTCGTGCTGCTCTCAGCAGGCGCCCGCGCCGACGCTGCCGATGCTGACGGGTGGAGCGCGCTGCGGGCGGCCGCTTGGGCGGGACACACTGAGGTGAGCGGGACATACTGAGGTGCGGGACATACTGGGGTGAGCGGGACATACTGGGGTGAGCGGGACATACTGGGGTGAACGGGACATACTGAGGTGAGCGGGACATACTGAGGTGAGAGGGACACACTGAGGTGAGCGGGACACATTGAGGTGAGCGGGACATACTGAGGTGAGCGGGACATACTAGGTGAGCGGGACATACTGAGGTGATCGGGACATACTGAGGTGAGCGGGACACACTAAGGTGAGCGGGACACACTGAGGTGAGCGGGACAGCGGCAATGGGACATAGGTCGAAGTGAGAGCAGAATAGAGGCCCAGGTGAGAGCGGGACAGAGGTCGAGGTGAGAGTGGGACTATTCCCACCACTCGTTCCCACCGCTGCAACTCCTGTGTAGCCAGGATCTACAGCTTGACCGCCAATAACCCAACCAGTGAAGGCCAAGTTTGTCCCCAGGAAAGTTAAACTGTCATTGGACCAATGTAATAACTAGCCCTATCACTTGCATTCCTTCAGATATTTGGCTAATAATGAAGGTTGCGCTATAAAGCTATAATATTTAATTAATTTAAATATTATAATTTAATTTTCTTATTTTTTCAGGTCGTTGAAGTGTTGCTGGAGTTTGGATGCGACGTAGATTGCGTTGATGCTGACAACAGAACTGCTTTGAGGTAAATATTGTTTGTTTTTGAAAAGTATTGGTTGAATTACTCTAATGTTTCAAGTTTTATTTGATTTTATGCTTACAATCAACAGAAATAGCAACTTACGATAGTATCCGGAACTTTTCAGTCTTCGCAAATTGACGGATCGACATCAAGTGGTCGCTTTTTCGCACGTTCACTCAGAACAGCTGAGTCTTATAGGAACCCCAGTTGTTTGTGTGATGTCCCGTTGAAATAACGTTTCTCTGTTTTCTTTCTTTATCAAATGCCACTAGTTGGCACTGATGTGCCGTCATCTTTGAAAACCGTATTACAAAAAAATACAAAAAAAATACAAAATATTTTATTCATATAAACAAGTCACATAACAAAGTTTTGGATCTAATCCTTTTAAGTTTTATCAACTTGTGTTAGGATCAGACCGCTCTGTCTAAATACAATAATGAAAACAGACTCGTTGAAATGACGTTAAATGTTACTTAAATAATGTTACTTGAGTTTGTGTTATATGTGAGAAGTAGAATTAAATAGACATATAAGTAAAAGTATTCTGACATTCCTTTCTCTCATTCTTATTCAGAGCGGCAGCATGGTCCGGCCACGAAGCGGTCGTCTCACGCCTACTAGCCGCCGGCGCGGATCCGGACAAGGCGGACGCGGAAGGCCGGACGCCGCTTATTGCAGCAGCTTATATGGGTCACGCGGACATCGTCCGGGCGTTATTGGACGCTGGGGCGAATGTGGACCACGCTGATGAAGATGGTAAGTGCCGGACACTTCGAAACTCCGGACACTCCGGATGGGGAAAGCCGGACGCCGCTTATTGCAGCAGCTTATATGGGTCACGCGGACATCGTCCGGGCGTTGTTGGACGCTGGGGCGAATGTCGACCACGCTGATGAAGATGGTAAGTGCCGGACACTTCGAAACTCCGGACACTCCGGATGGGGAAAGCCGGACGCCGCTTATTGCAGCAGCTTACATGGGACATGCGGACATCGTCCGGGCGTTGTTGGATGCTGGGGCGAATGTGGATCATGCCGATGAGGATGGTAAGTACTGTCTGCCCGGACACTTCAAAATCCTCGGACACTCGGGGAACACGGGGAAGTCTGGACGCCGCTTATTGCAGCAGCTTATATGGGTCACGCGGACATCGTCCGGGCGTTGTTGGACGCTGGGGCGAATGTGGATCATGCTGATGAGGACGGTAAGTGCCGGACACTTTGGACGCTCGGACACCGGACAAAGCGGTCGCAGTAGGCCGGACGCCGCTTATTGCAGCAGCTTATATGGGTCACGCGGACATCGTCCGGGCGTTATTGGACGCTGGGGCGAATGTGGACCACGCTGATGAAGATGGTAAGTACTGTCCGGGAAGCTATAAACACTTGGATACTGACACCCAGGTTCTCGGTTATTTTGGTCACCTGGACAATCCGGACGCCTGGAATCGCACCGAACATGAGCAGAGGAAAGCAGACGACGAAGGGATTGAATCAAAAGACGTTTTCAAAGTTGTTGTATATGCTTTCTAATAATAAATATGTAATTGAAGTCTAGAGAAGCTGATAATGACGATGATCGCTATTGTAATGCTGAACATTTTAATATCTGTGATGAAAACAATTACTTCAAAGTTTTTTCATTCAGTATAGGTCCTTTCAAGGGCACTTATACACGTCCCAAATAGCTTGCCCTACCACCACTTCGGGACAACATATGGGCTGGTGCTTGTTCTTCTCAAGAAGTGGCGGAAGAAACTCTGTCACCTTTATTTTATTTTTCTTTATTCAGAAAACCACAGCTCTATAATAATTACCACAGAATATTAATAAGTACTACGTACAGAAGTTTTACTTCGCGAAGGTATTTAAAAAAATGTATGCTCAGTGTCATTAACAATATGGTGTAATTTAGCCTGTCTCAAGAGTCAAGCACCATTTTGTTGACAAACGTCAGTGATCGGCACTGCGCCGAAGCTATAGGGCTGACTTCGGTAAAATGATGTGACGTGAGGTGCCAAACTGCGGAAAATGGCGGAGGAAATACATGATTTAGCATGAATTATCATGAATAATATTAACTACTTATTTACCTCTCAGTGTCTTGAGGCAACATAAAAAAGTAAGGATCACTCACACGGCATATTGGAGGAAAGAATAAAGGTTAATTTCTTCCTTCAGCTTTTAAGTTTTGTCACACTTATTCTTTAACAAATTCGCTCGTCAGTTTGCACACATTTCCCAACAGAAATAAAACGTATTTATTAATAAAAAGTCATTATTTTGAAGAGCACTCATACGGCCCGTGTGCGGTGTGAGTGATCCTAAATAATCGTCATAACTTTGGAACGGGACGTGCAAGGAATTTCTGAATTTGTTAATAGTTTTAACATATTCTTAACAATTTTTCAATACTATAAAAAGAAGTGGAAAGGCTTTATTTTCTGAAATAAACATGTTGACGTTTTCTTAAAGCGTGCGGTATGAGTGCTCCTATTTATTGGCCATAACATTTTTATCTTAGGTTTAACAAATTTTTAAACTTCATCGCAATGTTTTAACATATTTTAAGTAAAACTTCCTCGATTTTTGTTAAGATTGAAGCAAGGATCACTCAATCCACATGCACATGTTAAATACTGCACAGTATTTAGTACACCATTTTCTTTATTTTCTTTCATCATACACAAGAATACGCGTGCGTGAGTCAATGTTCGCTCGTATGTGAGGCCTTGTCGAATAGTATCCTGTAGGTGGGCCATCGTGCGTGTTTTGTTTTCGATGTAAACTCGCGGAGATGAACAGGCCTGATAATACAAACAATAACCTTAAATAACTTTTGTCAGTGTTTGTTTATAATTTGTATCACTCTGTTTCTCAGGTCGCACAGCGCTCTCAGTGGCCTCCCTATGCGCTTCAGGCGGCGCGTGCGCATCTCTACTACTGGAGCGCGGCGCTGACGTCAGCGCGGCCGACCGCGACCAGGCCGCGCCGCTTCTAGTTGCAGCTTTTGAAGGGCACACGTGAGTCAAAATAACTGAAACAACTGACAGTGGCAAAAAATGACATTTAATGTATGACGGATAGTACAGCGCCCCTAGCGGGAAACATTCAGAAACTAAAATTTTCATACATTTTTTGTAAAATATGTAACATAACTCACACTCAGCCCACTGAATGGTATGGTGCCCCCCCAATTTGTTGGTACCGATTTGAAAATGGAAGATAGCCGCCTTCGAGGGGCAACGTGAGTCTCTCTCTCTCTCTCTTGCTGGACCAGGCCGCGCCGCTGCGAAGTGCCTTCGAAGGGCACACGTGAGTCTCTCTCTCTCCTCTCTCTTGCTGGAGCGCGGCGCTGACGTCAGCGCGGCCGACCGCGACCAGGCCGCGCCGCTTCTAGTTGCAGCTTTTGAAGGGCACACGTGAGTCAAAATAACTGAAGCAACTGAAGATATTTAAATAGAATATTTTTTTAATAATAATCATCATCATCTCAGCCATAGGACGTCCACTGCTGAACATAGGCCTCCCCCAATGCTTTCCATGTTACCCGGTTGGTAGCGGCCTGTGCGTCCAACGCCTTCCTGCTACCTTTGTGATGTCGTCGGTCCGTTCCGGTACGCGGCCTCCACTCCAGAACCTTGCTGCCCCATCGGCCGTCAGTTCTGCGTACTATGTGCCCCGCCCATTGCCACTTCAGCTTTATAATAATAGTTATAACTTTTACCTCCCCTCTCTCCTCTCTCTCTCTCCCTCTCTCTCTCCCTCTTTCTCTCTCTCTCTCTCTCTCCTCTCTCCTCTCTCTTGCTGGAGCGCGGCGCTGACGTCAGCGCGGCCGACCGCGACCAGGCCGCGCCGCTTCTAGTTGCAGCTTTTGAAGGGCACACGTGAGTCTCTCTCTCTCCCTCTCTCTCTCTCCTCTCTCTTTCCTCTCTCTTACTGGAGCGCGGCGCTGACGTCAGCGCGGCCGACCGCGACCAGGCCGCGCCGCTACTAGTTGCAGCTTTTGAAGGGCACACGTGAGTCTCTCTCTCTCTCCTCTCTACTACTGGAGCGCGGCGCTACGCTAGCGCCGCGCTACTAGTTGCAGCTTTTGAAGGGCACACGTGAGTCTCTCTCTCTCTCTCTCTCTCTCTCTCTCTGTCTCTCCTCTCTTGCTGGAGCGCGGCGCTGACGTCAGCGCAGCTGACCGCGACCAGGCCGCGCCGCTTCTAGTTGCAGCTTTTGAAGGGCACACGTGAGTCAAAATAACTGAAGCAACTGACAGTGGCAAAAAATGACATGTAATGTATGTAATGTACAGCGCCCCTAGCGGGAAACGTTAAAAAATTTAAATGTTCATACATTTTTTGTAAAATATGTAAACTCACACTCAGCCCACTGAATGGTATGGTGCCCCCCCAATTTGTTGGTACCGATTTGAAGATGGAAGATAGCCGCCTTCGAAGGGCACACGTGAGTCTCTCTCTCTCTTTGTCGCCTCTCTCTACTATCTCTCCTCTCTCTCTTTCCTGTCTCTTACTGGAGCAGGCCTCGCCGCTGCTGCTGGCCGCCTTTGAAGGGCACACGTGAGTCTCTCTCTCTCACTCTCTCTCCTCATCTCTCCTCTCTCTTGCTGGACCAGGCCGCGCCGCTGCTGGTGGCCGCTTTTGAAGGGCACACGTAAGTCTCTCTCTCCTCTCTGTCCTTTCTCTCTCCTCTCTCTTGCTGGACCAGGCCGCGCCGCTGCTGGTGGCCGCTTTTGAAGGGCACACGTAAGTCTCTCTCTCCTCTCTGTCCTTTCTCTCTCCTCTCTCTTGCTGGACCAGGCCGCGCCGCTGCTGGTGGCCGCTTNTTTACTTACTTAGTGAACCAATACTCCTAGAATTAATTAGAGATATCCTAATGGGAAGTAGCGAGTTATTCCCAATACAAGTGTCTCTGACTACTTACCGGGAAGACTCGGTAATAACTCTGTACAAGTATATTTGGAAATAAATGAATTTTTATTTATTTATTTATTTATTTGATTTTGGTATTGGAAAATCTCTAATTGATATTAAATTATCTCTTATTGGGCGCACTGTATTGTTATGTATTATATGACCGAGGTATTTCACTGAATTTGAAGCAAATGTACATTTTGTAAATTTAAGTCTAAATCCCTCTGTTTTTATAGCATCTAATAATTGTGTAATATGTTCAATATGTTCTGAAAATGTTTTTGAAAATATTAAAATATCGTCTATGTAATTAACTGCAAAATCCGTGAGTTTATATCTCCTTAATATGTTACTAAGTATCCTTTGAAATATGGCTGGTGACGTCTTCAGACCGAAAGGTAAACACGTCCATTGAAAATGACCTTCTTGTGTCACAAACGCAGTTTTCTTTCTATCTTCAATTCTTAGCGGGATTGACCAAAATGCTGAGTTGATATCAAGTGTCGTAAAATATCTTGAGTTTCTTGTCTTAACTACTAGATCATCAATGACTGGAAATGGTTGAGCTTGTGGAACGACTATCTTATTCAGGTCTCTAAAGTCAATACATAATCTTGATTTTCTATTGTCTTCTTTTTTGAAAGCTAACGTTACTGGTGCTGCAAAAGGACTATAAGATTCTTCTATTAGCTTTTTGTCAAGAAGTTTTGCAACTTGTTCTTCTATTTCTTTTTTGTCCTCTACTGAACATCTATATGGCCTTTTGCTGCAGTATTTGTCCATTAGTAAATCAATGCGTGCTTCATATTTTTCTACTGTACCAATATCATATTTATCTTTTGCAAAGATTGATTTATATTTATCTATCAGTTTATGTATTTCTGCTTCTTGTTGTGTATTCAAATTTCCCATACTTATTTTGAAATCTTCTTCTTTTATATGTTCATTGAAATTCACCGAACCTGGGTTTTGGTATTCTTTATTTTCCTCTTTATCATTTCTAAATTCTTTTTCTTCTTTTATTTTCTCTTTCTTCTGTGTAATTTTCATATTCTCATCTTGAATCAATCGAAATTGCTGTATGAGATTTAATCCAATTAGGAAATCATATTTGAAATCTTCTCCGTCTATAATATAGACATCTGCATTATCTTCTATATCAAATATTTTTATTTTAATAGTTGTTAAGCCAATTGTCTTTTTAACACCATTAATCGTGATTAAACTATCTCTTTTTGAATCATCTTCTTCTTCTCCACTCCATCTTACTAATTTTGAGTTAATTATAGAAATATTTGAACCAGAATCATATATTCCGGATATTTCTAGTTGTGAATTTAATAATAGTTTAATTTTAATTAATGGTGTTACTACTCGTTTTTTTTTCTTCATTACTTAGTTCCACATCTAATACTGTATTGTTTATGGTTCTACCACTATTTCTCTTTTGATTATATTCTTCTGTTTGTTTGAACCAGCATTTTTCTTCCGGATGAAATCGAGAACCTTTATTTAATTTTTCACATATCTTGCATGGTTTTTTTTCATTCTCCATCTTTCCTTTATATTCATAATTATTCTTTTCGTATGTATTCTTCCTGTAGTTGTTGTTGTATTTCTTTTTAATCAATGATTCATGTTTCCCTATTTCATTATAAAGGTTTTCCGTTGTTTTAATAGTTTCTTTATCAATTTTGTCCATTACATAATCTGGTAATCCTATGACAATAAGAGTTATCAGGGTTTTCGTGTCAATGTTCTTATTGGCCTCTAATAATAGCCTTTCCTTTTTTGTAGCATATTCTAATAAAGATCCACTCTGATATTTAAAAATAAATGCGTATTTAATTTGAGACCAACCCTTATTACCATAAGTTTCACAAAAGGCATTCTTCCATTTTGCCCAGTCAGAATTCATACTCATCTTTATTAGCATACTGGCATACCAATCCAAACATTGTTTTTCTAGGAGGTGTTTAAGAATCCCAATTTTCTCTTCATCGTGTCGAATTTGGAATCTTTCACATTCACTCTCGAAATCATTTATCCATTGGTCAGCGCTGGATGATTTGTTTGAAAATTTTTCGATTACAAACCGTTCTGCGGTTTTTCCTAGGTTTTTATTTTCTGACATACTAGAATTTTTATATGAAGCATTTGCCTCTCCTGTGGTCTCATCCAAATATTGGTTCCCAAATTGCACATTTTCACCCTCATCTAGATATGTTTTTCTCAGTTCCGTATTAAGAGGGATCCATAAGGATCGTGTCTGATGTCTCTTTTTAAGCGTATTCTTAATTTTCGTAAATAATTCCGTAGTTAATATGACATTGTGCTTACTTGCTGGTTTTAACTCGTCTGGAATCTCGTAAACACGGCCGTCTGGTGTCTCGATAGAGGTTATGCAGATCACATTGGTTTTTCCATCTGCCGACCCTTGAACTTCAAATTTAAATCGTAGTTTCTCCATATTTATCTTATTTCTAACTATAAATGTCGTTTTATAAGACGNAGGGCACACGTAAGTCTCTCTCTCCTCTCTGTCCTTTCTCTCTCCTCTCTCTTGCTGGACCAGGCCGCGCCGCTGCTGGTGGCCGCTTTTGAAGGGCACACGTAAGTCTCTCTCTCTCACTCTCTCTCTCCTCATCTCTCCTCTCTCTTGCTGGAGTAGGCCGCGCCGCTGCTGGTTGCCGCCTTTGAGGGGCACACGTGAGTCTCTCTCTCTCACTCTCTCTCTCCTCATCTCTCCTCATCTCTCCTCTCTCTTGCTGGAGCAGGCCGCGCCGCTGCTGGTTGCCGCCTTTGAGGGGCACACGTGAGTCTCTCTCTCTCACTCTCTCTCTCCTCATCTCTCCTCTCTCTTGCTGGAGCAGGCCGCGCCGCTGCTGGTTGCCGCCTTTGAGGGGCACACGTGAGTCTCTCTCTCCTCTCTGTCCTTTCTCTTTCTATCCTCTATTTGTCTATAGAAATCTCTTCTCTTTTTGCTTATTTTTCCCTCTTTGTCCCTTTTTTATCTCTCTCCGTCTCTCTCTTTCATTCTTTCCCCCCTTTATCCTATCACTCTCTCCCCGTCTCTTTTTTCATATTGGTCCAGTAGAAAAAGTAGTTGTATTTGAGTACGGGACTATTCCCACCTCTCGTTCCCACCACTGCAACTCCTGTGTAGCCAGGATCTACAGCTTGACCGCCACAAAAAACCCAACCAATGAAGGTCAAGTTTGTCCCGGGGGAAAGTTAAACTGTCATTGGACCCGCAACGAAATTAATCAGAAGAACATAGGAGGAGTTTTTCACAAAATCGCTTAAAAGCACGGAAATTTTTCCTTGTCGCGACAAGATCGGTGTAATAAATTGCGGAAACAGATGTATGTTGTATTGAATTAAGCATTATATCACGTTCATGTTTCCAAAGATCACACTCCCACAAGATATGATGTATTTGAGTAGTAGCATCAAACCTTTCTGTTTGATTAAGTATAAAAATTACATCCGGTATAATTTAAGCATTTTTAGCCCTGTTGAATGCCTCACATTCGAGCGCGATAAGCCGCGCGCAATATTTTGTTTAGTCGCAAATACATCTCCTTACTAGCAAGGTGTCTTTCACTCATCACCAGTCCTTTCATTCAAAATTCAACCTTAACGTACTCAACAAGCCCTATAAAATAACGTCTTCCATTCTTCATCATCATCATCATCATCAACAGCCCTTTACAGTCCACTGCTGGACTATGAGCCTCCTCCACTATAGTAGAGGGTTTTGCCATAATCCCCACGCTTGGCAGGCGGGTTGGAGATCGCAGTTTAAAAGATTTATGTTTGTCAGAGAGCGCTGCTGCCCGTTCTCTGTTTGATGTGTAGTCCCTAAGTCGCCTCTTACGACACCCGCGGGATGAGTAGGGGTTGGTGACAAATGTATTCTACTCTGCCGTCACCACACTCCATTCTTCATAGAGTTTAAACTGTCAAACTCATTACTCAATAAAGATTTAATTCATTTATTCATCCTCCAGCGAGATCTGCGAGCTCCTCCTCGAAGCCGAAGCGGACATTGAGGCGGCGGACGCGCCCGGACGCACGGCGCTGTGGGCGGCCGCGTCCGCCGGACACGCGCGCACCGTCCGCTTATTGCTGTTCTGGGGCGCTTGTGTGGATACTATGGACGCTGAGGGACGGACTGTGTTAAGCGCTGCAGCGGCACAAGGTAAGAAGTGTGCCTAGAGTGACATAGAGCAATTAACATCATAGGACAGCAACTGGGGACGCCAAGTGACTAACTGAAGGAGTGTCTAGAGAAGGCTGCAGGACGAGTGTCTAAAGAAGGTAGGACGAGTGTCTAGAGGGGGCAGGACAAGTGTCTAGAGGGGTAGGATGAGTAGACACTGGCTTTGTCCCTCCAGTGAGATCTGCGAGCTCCTCCTGGAAGCCGAAGCGGACGCGCTCGGACGCACGGCGCTGTGGGCGGCCGCGTCCGCCGGACACGCGCGCACCGTCCGCTTATTGCTGTTCTGGGGCGCTTGTGTGGATACTATGGACGCTGAGGGACGGACTGTGCTAAGCGCTGCGGCCGCACAAGGTGAGTGACCTTGTCTTTAACGACCTTGTCTACAGTGACCTTGTTTCTAGCGGCATTGTCTCTAGCGACCTCGTCTACAGCGACCTTGTCTCTAGCAGCCTTGTCTCTAGTGGCACCGTGACGAGCGTCTATAGCGGGCTGCGGGACAAGTGTACCGTCCGCTTGCTGCTGTTCTGGGGCGCTTGCGTGGATACTATAGACGCTGAGGGACGGACTGTGCTAACGGCTGCTGCAGCTCAAGGTGAGATAGTCTCTACAAGAGTGCATGACGAGTGTCTAGAGAGGGTTGCAGGGACGAGTGTCTAAAGTCTAGGGCGGCTGGAGGCCTAGTCTCTAAAGGCGTTGTCTACTCGTCACTAGACACTCGTTATCTAGTGAGGACCAGGACGAGTGTCTAGAGGCGGCTGCGGGATGAGTGTATAGACACGACGACGACTGTCCAAATTCTAGGGCGACTACTAGAAGCCTAGTTTTTACCAGCTTTGTCTCTAGCGACACCGTGACGAGCTTCTATAACAGGCTGTTGACGCACTGTGTTAAGTGCTGCGGCCGCACAAGGTAAGAAGTGTGCCTAGAGTAACATAGAGCAATTTACATCATAGGACAGCAACTGGACACGCCAAGTGACTAACTGAAGGAGTGTCTAGAGAAGGCTGCAGGACGAGTGTCTAAAGGGGGTGGGACGAGTGTCTAGAGGGGGCAGGACAGGTGTCTAGAGGGTGAGTAGACACTGGCTTTGTCCCTCCAGTGAGATCTGCGAGCTCCTCCTGGAAGCCGAAGCGGACATTGAGGCGGCGGACGCGCCCGGACGCACGGCGCTGTGGGCGGCCGCGTCCGCCGGACACGCGCGCACCGTCCGCTTATTGCTGTTCTGGGGCGCTTGTGTGGATACTATGGACGCTGAGGGACGGACTGTGCTAAGTGCTGCGGCCGCACAAGGTGGGTGACCTTGTCTCTAGCGGTTTTGTCTCTAGAGACCTTGTCTACAGCGACCTTGTCTCTAGCGACCTCGTCTACAGCGACCTTGTCTCTAGCAGCCTTGTCTCTAGTGGCACCGTGACGAGCGTCTATAGCGGGCTGCGGGACAAGTGTACCGTCCGCTTGCTGCTGTTCTGGGGCGCTTGCGTGGACACTGTGGACGCTGAGGGACGGACTGTGCTAAGTGCTGCTGCAGCTCAAGGTGAGATAGTCTCTAGAAAGTCAGCAATTGGCTCTCTGCAAGTATCTAGAGGGGGCAGGATGAGTATCTAGTGGAGAACGAGTGTCTAGAAGCGCCAGAACGAGTGTCTTTTCTCTACCGACTTTGTCTCTAGTAGCCTTGTGTCTAGCGGCCTTGTCTCTAGTCGACTTGTCCCTGGCGGCCTTGTCTCTAGCGGACTTGTCCTTGGTGGCCTTATCTCTAGCGGACTTGTCTCTAGCGACCGTGTCTCTAGCGACCTTGTCTCCAACCTTGTCTCTAGCGACCTTGTCTCTAACGAACTTGTCTCTAGCGGCGACTGGTGTTATAGGGCGTTAACTGGTGGTGGAAACGCCTGCGTCGAAGGCGCCAGATCAATTTTATTTAAATGATGACAGATGAGGATCCCGGGTGACAACTGAAATTCTGGGGCGCATGCATGTATTTTTATTTTACTCGCATTTATTACCTTGTAAATTGTATTTCCTGAAAAAATGTTTATTATAATTTGTCACATTAATTAATATTCTTTACGCAGGCAACGTGGAAGTAGTGAGGCAGTTGCTAGACCGTGGTTTAGATGAACACCACCGGGACAATTCGGGTTGGACGCCGCTACACTACGCTGCTTTCGAAGGTAGGCTGCAGAAAATTGATATTGTTATAAATTAAGTCTATGCTAATCGCAATCCATCTGGCCAGCGTGGGGAGTGTAGTGTATTCTACGTTTGCCTCTGGTCAATTGGAAAACGTCGTGCTCCTGCAGTTGAGACTAAACGACCGGAGAATGATGCATGATAAGTGTATAGTATTATCACATGTCGATTCGGTTTTTATTTATTTATTTAATAGGACAATACCAACAAGACATACACTAAAAGACAATCAATATTTACAACGTATATAAGACGTTTATAGGGAATTGTACAATTTAAAAGATTGTGTTGCTCTGAAAACAAAGATTTTATTTATTTTGTTAATTAGCACTAATATACAATGTAATTTCACTGTTCAACTTAAAACTATTAACCTCACCTGAAAACAAAGAAACGACATTCAAAGTTTATTATTTAAATTGTCAATTCCTTTTTAAAATCTTTACAATAAATTATTTCTTGCAAATCACGTTTATTTCCGATCTGACACATCAGTGTCATTTACGAAGCAAGTTTAATTTTATAATACTGACATTTTAGAAGATCGTGAATAATAAACAATAGTCGCGTTTACGAAGATAGTCAGTAATTAAGAAACTAGTTTCTTTACATCTCCGCNACGTATTTAGCGTATTAACACAGCTGTTTATGATATTAATGCCCGTTTTCATCAGCAACCCCTAATTTTTAAGTTACCAAAAAAAAATCCTGTTAATATTATGTGTTACCATAGGGGTCACTTAAAAATTTGGGATTGATGCTTAAATTTTGTATTTTTTATGTATAGTCACTAATAAATGCCATTATAACTCAAATAGTAGTCATATACGTGCATTTTTATGTGCGCAAGCGAGAAGTCATTACAAGGTTTTTATTATGATGAGTATAAGATCGCCTAATCATCTGACTTTAACCTTACTATTCCTCTCACAGGCCACATAGAAGTATGCGAGGCATTACTCGAAGCGGGTGCAAAAGTAGACGAAGCGGACAACGACGGCAAGGGAGCGCTGATGNATCTCCGCCCCACGACAGAGAAAATTTTTGCTAAAATTTTCATTTACAATAAAGATTAATAAGCTAATACCTATGTTACTTAAACATTTATATATATATTATGTATCTATTTTATACTTATTTACTTAGTTTTTGTTGGTATTGGTATAATCTTTGAAATGTGAAAGAGGTTTGATTCTGTCTTTTTATGTCCTGAATCAATTTTGTATAATGAATTTGATATTTTTTCGATTATTTTAAAGGGACCAATTTTTAGTTCATCTAATTTTTTTCTATTGAGTTTATTTCCATTTTCAACATATACCATATCTCCTATGTGAAAATCTATTTGTATTCTATTTTTATCGAATAATTGTTTATTATATGTATGGTTTATTTTTGAATTTTCCAATGCTATTTTCCTATCCCTAATCCATTCATCTTCAGATATATCTTTTTTTAGTTCTTCTGGCAGTAATGAAATATTTGTACCGTCCAAAATGTATTTTGGTGCAAAACCTGTAACTGTATGTTCCGTGTTGTTATAATTTTCCACACAAATGTGTGCAGCAGTAGTCCAAGCTAATTTATTTTTTCTTTCATTTATTTTACATCTTATCTTATTTACAAGTGTTTGATTTAGTCTTTCGTTTAGACCATTAGAAAAGGGAGTATTTACTGCAGTGAAGATCATTTGTATTGATTTTTCATTTAAAAAAGTTTTAAATTCCTTAGAATTGATTCCCGGGTATTGGTCAGAGAGTAGAAACATAATTGAATCTGAATCTGGTACACTATTAATTAATTTTATGAAATCATTAGCATTTTGAGTTTTAGACGTAACAATATAAGCATATCGTGAAAAGTGGTCTACAAGAAGATGTAAATATTTTTTTGTTGATCGTGACCCTCCAAAACCTCCAATCGTGTCTATTGAGACTATTTCAAAAGGTTTTGTGGCCGGACCTAATTGTGACATTAAACCATAATTTTTTTGTCCTCTTGATTTATTTTTAATACATATATCACAAGTTTTACAACATTCTGTTATATTTTTTGTTAAGTTATTTGCTGTATATGACGTACTAATTATGTTTTGCATTTGTTTTACACCTAGATGACACATATTCTCATGAACTTTTTTTATTAATTCTTTGCTGTATTTTTCTGTTAAAATTATTTTTTCCTGTTTTTTCCCTTTTTTGTAAAAGACATTATTTTTCAACACTAATTTTGTTTTATTATTTTGTATGTATTCATTATCTCCCTGATCTGTAATTATATCATTTAACGTTATCATATTTATAATTTTTAATTGTTCATCTGTATCCTCATTAGCATATAAAACTGGGTTCCTGCTTAAGCAATCTGCTTCTATATTTTCTTTCCCTGGTGCGTATTTAATTTTAAAATCATACTGTGACAAATAAAATGTTAATTCTCCTAATTCCTCATCTGTCCTCGACTTAATATTTAAATTTTCCAATGGTTTATGGTCTGAATATACAGTAAACGATTTACCTATTAGCCAATATTGCCAGTATCTAATGGCTTCTTTTATTGCTAAACATTCTAAATAAACTGCTTTCTTTTTCTTTTGTGTTTCATTTAGTTTTTTTGAAAAGTAAGCAACTGGTTTTTTATTTCCGTTCGGTTGTGTTTGTTTTAGCACTGCTCCAATACCATTTAAAGATGCGTCTGTATATATTTCAATTGGCAAATTTTGATCAAATATTTCTAATATAGGCTGTGAGCATAATAACTTTTTCACACTTTCAAATGATTGTTGACACTCTGCAGACCAAATAAATTTTTGATTTTTTCTTAGTAATTTATGTAGAGGTTCTAAAAGTATAGTACTATTTGGAATATATTCGTGGTAGAAGTTTACTTTTCCTAAAAATTGTCTGATATTTTTTTGTGA